AGTGAAACTCGGTGGTTATGCAAAGAGACTCACGATTTATACTGGTTCAGGCCCTCGACTTGGTCGAGTAATAACCTTATGTCCAGTTCGGCGTTAGCCTATTTGCGTCGTATTGCTTTGAGTATTGGGTATGTTCAGTTGTTTACAAGGGATATCCTCACCAGCCCTTTATAGTCCAGGTGCTGAGATGAGTTATTTGTGTTCTACTCAGATACAAGGTCAGAGTCCTAAACTATGCTTTGGGCGCCTTTCCTTGTATAGTCCAAATTGGAGTTTTGGTCTTGCATGTTGCTTTGCTCCGTGTTCTTCTTGGCGATTGGGCTGTGGGCCTTGTTACCATGGTCCACTTCCCTATAGTACAGCCTATGGGGGGCTCGTAGGGTTCCCCATCGACAGTGTGACAATGTGTGTCATATTGGAGCATGTAGAAAAGGTCTAATGGCACATATTCCACGTGTAAAGCTTGTCGCTTCGCTCATGTTCAGCGATGGAGGCAGTGGTGAGACTGGGGGGCTCTAGCCCCCCTACCGATTCTGGGCACGTGGAGCCCCCCTAAGCCCTCCCTTGAAATTTTATGCATATATGTATTAGGTAGGAGGGGCTAAGGTTAAGAGAATATAAAAAAGCCTCTATTCTTTTGTTCAACCCCTCCTAAATTTTTTTTGGCTTCATCACTGCTCATGTTGGTATGACAACTCTATTTAGAGCATGTACTTCCACGTAAATCTTTCCATTTCACTCATGTTGGCATGACAACTTTATTTGGAGCATGTACGACTAGCTCATATTCTAATATATAAGGCTTTGTCGCACCACTCATGTTGGCATGATAACTCTATCTAGAGCATGTAGGAGTCTTTCAGCGTACATATAAAGCTTGTCACACCGGCATGAGAACCTATTTTGTCATGCACTAAGATTGGTGTGACAAGGCTATCCTTGCACTTTAGAGAGAGAAAAAAAGCATGTCTTTTTTCATACAGAGCAAATGGAGATGATCTTTTATATAGAAACTATATATGTCGATGAATCTACAACTTTGTGGTTTTGAGTTTTTTTTCATTTGTGTTCATTAAAATTATTTAAAAAATGATACAAACTTTCACTGACTTATGCACCAAGACTTATCACCTTAGAAAAGTTGTATCTTTTTTATATGGAGACAAATAGAGATATAATTGATACAAAAATTATAGCTCACTACAAGATCTATAATATTTAGTTTTTCATTTAAATCGTTATGGTACTTAAATAACTAATACAAACTTTTAGCAGGACATTAAGCATATTCTATATAATCTCCAACTTGACTCATATTACGGTATTTATGAATGTTGCTATAATTGCATCTCATATATACTCTTCTGCATCTTATTTCTTGATAAGGTGTTCCTTGATGGCATGGTCTACAACGATGCGACTATATCTCCTTTGGTACCATGATGGAACCAAGGTTCCATGTGGAATGCAAACATATGGTTAAGCCTACGGATGTTTATGAGTATCGAGGTGAACTGCCATGAACATTGTAAAGTTTGCACCGAGGCGCATTTTTAGCTATTCAAATATATCCCTTCTCTTTATCGAGTAAGCATTGATGATCTTTGACCTAAACAAAATTGTCATCATCTAAACCATACTTCTCTTTTATCATAGATTATATAAAAGCTTGTTGCCATTCCTTATACACCATTGCTCATCTACACCATTGTTTTCTTACATAAAAGCTTGTTGTCTTTGCGTATTGATGAGTGAATGTGATTGAACTTTTCCTTTGTGATGTGTTCTTGAATAACAAGTTTTGTGCTTGGTTTAGGTTAGTTGGGAGATTTGTCAAGGACTGCAGGAGCCCTTTTTAGCATTGTCAGTGGCAGAAGAAACCTCCTCAACCTCGTTCTTAGCATGAAAAACATTGTTACCACCAATGGGTTGCTCTTCATCTATTCCATCATTGGGATTATCAACTTCAATGGGAACATCTTGGCGTAGGGGTATAGTGGGGTTGGAGCTCATAGGATTCCAATGATCTTGCTCGTCATTAGTGATGCCACTAAACATCACATATAAGTCATCCTTATTTCAGAGAGCCCTCTCCTTAGACTTGCCACATTTAGGAATTTTCCAAAACATTTGACAAGGTAAGAAATTAGACATCAATACTAGAAGCAATAATCAACATAACATTATAATAAAAAATGATGGAACACTCACGAGTTTTGTCTTCTTCCACCATTCGGGGTCCATGTTGATCAATTCATTTTCAGTAGTCACAACTAGTTTTGTTTGCTTCCTCATTAATTTTCGCTTTGTAGTCAAATTACCCCTCAACTCATCCCACTGGTTCTTTAGCTACCTTTTGCTCAAATGTTTTTGGTACCTCAGCAAAGCGCACGATGTTCAAATGAGTGTTCAGCCAATTCTCTTTTCTAATTTGTTTCGGTGAACAACTTGCAAATAATTGTGGTAATCTCATCATTCCAATCCATTGAATCACGTATACCATGATTTCCCCACAACAGTTTTTAAGTTTCAATTCACATATATTTTCATATAATAATACTACGAGACAATTCTATTGTAGTGTGGACCTCTAATTCATATGCTTGTCATTATGCTTCATAATTAATTAAAGCTATACCAATAAAATTGGAAGAAAACTCGATACCTCACCATCCTTTGTCCTCTTGTTGGCCGAGGAGCATGTTTCATAATTTGTGTCACTAACATGACTATTGCTTGTGATGTGTGCACTTGGGAAGACCGAAAAATCATCGCCTAGCACTGTGGAAATCAACGAGGAGAGGGGTGGAGGATGGTTGGATCAACCCATTCCCACGGTCATTAGGTCGCCGGAGCTGTCCCACTAGCGGATTTTGGTGAAGGCGACAACTACTGTTGGGGTGGCATGGGAGATTCAGAAGATGAACAATTGCATCGGGAACCAGTATAGGGGTTTTGCGTGTGTAATCATTGGCATGATGTGTAATTATCACCCAACTGCACGAGGAGGTATGACACCAGTGTTCTTAGAGCACCCCTTTGAGGAGTTCCACGAAATGCATGTATTTAGCCCCTATATCCATGTTTTTTGTAGATTTCGTAGAGCTAAGGAATTTAGCTTGCTGTTTATATAGAGTGGGCTGTTTTTTATGGATCTAGCATTGGTGAAGCTCTCCCAAATATATTGTATATCTATATCTATATATACTCTATATCAATTTTGTCTTCTCTATGCTACCATAGCTCTAGACTCGATATTTTCTATGAGAAATTACTTAACTCAATCACTTGTTGACGTTACTAAATAGTTTTCTATCGAGGTCTATCTCATAGAGGTAATCAAATTGGATCATTGATTGATATCTAGGTTTTCTCGTAAACCTAATTGGTTATATATGTATTTACATCTATACCTAATATTAAATAGAGAAGGATTTTTTTGTCAAATTTTGAAGTGTCAACGGAGGGCATCGGGGTGGCGGGGGTGGGTGGGGAGGGGGTGGTATGATCCCCACCTGATTTCCATTTATCGTAAACTTGGCCTCAGCAGCCTGTCTAATACAAATGTTTCTTTAGAGAGAATTTACATCAAGAGGGAGAGGTCACATTGGATCTATAATTAAGCGATCAAATAACTTACACCACTCATCTGCTATCTGTTTTTGTTTCATTGAGCGCCACTATCGAGCTTCGACTTGCAGGAAAGCAGTAACTGGCGCAGAGATAATGCCTCGTTCTAGAAGATGACCTAGTTTCTTCGTTTCCATGATTGCCAACAACACAAGGCAATGAACATGTTGTACTGCAGTGTAGGGATTTGAGAAGATCCATTTTTACTTCCCACTATATCCTTGACCCCTTCTTATTCCGTTTGTGACTCGGACTCATGGTTCATGGTCGTACCAGTTAGAACAACATGAGTCTAATGGCAGTATGAAGTCCAATTCCAAACCGTGGTTCGATTCCAAAATGTACTGAAACATATGATGATCGTTGAATAAATCTCTAAACAATAAATTGTTTCGACTTTAAATCAATGCGCGGATGGGTCGATCCATAATATTAACATCCTTATGGTGTATGGAATCGCTGTTCTCCGGAGGTCTCATGGTGAATTCGTGTATTACTATTTCAGCACGTGTTACTGCTTCCACGTGGGGAAAAACTAGGTGGGGACTATACCCATGAGGCAACCGTGTAAACCTACCGTGGATTCATGTTACGTATCTATGCATAATCATCCAACTCATGAAATTGCTGCGTAAACTAAGGAGGAGCAGTTGGAAAGAAAAACTATAGCTTTCTCATGTGTTGGATGTTTATATATGTACACAAGGTATAAATCTAAAAAATTTGGATTTTTAAAAATATATTTGTATGCTTTTAGATATTTTTTGTAAGAAAGATTTCTAGTTCGATTTACTTTCATAAACTTTCAGCTTAGTCTAAATTTCCTCATTTTGACGTGATGCCACATCGTTAAAACTACCATCAAAACCACTCATAAAAATAAAAAAGGTTTTTGAAAAATTGAAGGAGATAAAAAGATTGGTTTTGTAATTTAGGGAGGAAACACGGACGACCGCGATAACGGGAGAGGTAAATTAAACTTTTTCCTTCATTATCTAAGGTGAGGTGCGGCTTGCTCTCGGTGAGGTGGGCGTGGTTGACATACGGAGCGAACCAGCAACGGTGCAACACGGAGAGGCAAGTCCGTGGTGGGCTGGTGGCGGCGGCCGCTGACCGGTCGCCCCCCAAAAAAGAAGATGCGGCGCGGACCGTTGGATTGCAAATAGAGGGCATCGGGAGGGGAAAAGTCAAGCTCAGAGAATCCACGCCTCGAGTCCGTCCCGGTGCGTCCTCCGTCTCGCAGTCTGTCTGCGCAACCAAACCGGTTGCCATCGACAGGAGGCCCTCTATATTAATCTGGCCCCAGCGGCAATTGGGGGCAACTCGTTTGCGGAATTCGCGTTGATCGATCAGGAGAGGGGACGGCTTCCATGACGGGGGCTCTGGAGTTTGTGGCAATGGAGGTACAGCCGGCGGAGGAACAACGCGCGGTGGCGGCGACAAAGCTGCTGCAAAGTTCAGACGCCGGAAGGCAACAACGACGTGAGTACTTGAAGGAGCACCAAAGCCCTCGTGCTGATTACATCAAGCATGCAGATCTGCTTTCTAGGAAGCTAGCAAGGTATAGTACTCGTCTCACACAATACATATCTAGACAATTACATGTTCAGCACAATAGGTGCTTTCTGATTACAAAGATCAAAAGATGTATAATTTTGTAACAAAACTTTCACAGCTGCCTTTGCGCAGTCTGAATCAATAAAATTCAGGTGGGGAGCCCCTCCCCCCCCGGTGACCTTAAAAAAAAATTGCTTATACGACTTTAGTGCGAATGTTAATTCAGATTTCCGCTCCTTGTGAACTTCAGATGCTGGAAGAAATTCGCTCTGTCCAAGAAGACGACGCTCTCTCTGGTTCAGGCTTTCGATTCCTCAGGAATCAACGGCAAGTCCGTCAAGAACATGTCCTTCGAAAACCTGGCCATGTCGATGGAGTCCCCTCCCATTCTCCAGGCGACGAGGGCACTACTCGATCGACTGGAGACGCGTTTCGTGATCTCTAGCTCCGCGCCGGTGGAAAACGTTGACCATCTGCTGAAACACTTCGCTGCTCCCCCGAGGAGGAAGAAGCCCGCAGCACCTCGACGTGCTCGTAGCAGCCGCAGCGTGGGAACAACGGCGCCGGCGGCGGCAGTGGCAAAGAGACTGGCCGTCACGGTCACCCAACAAAGTTCCCAAGAGATCAACCGACTGCCTAGGTACTCGCTGAGGGTCGTGCTCTGCGCCTACATGATCCTGGCTCATCCAAGCGCGGTCTTGAGCGGGCAGCGCGAGGGGGAGGCGCAGCTCATGGAGTCGGCGGCGCGCTTCGTCGAGGAGTTCGAGCTGCTGACGAAGACAGTACTCGATGGACATGGACCTTCAGCTGTTCAGAGGAAGTTCAGGGATCAGTTGGCTGCTTTCGACAGGGTGTGGTGCGTGTACCTCTACCGCTTCGTGGCGCGGAAGGTGAAAGACGCGACGTTGCTGGAGCGAGACCTTGTCAGCGCGGTGTGCAAGCTCGAGCTGTCGATGATGCAGACGTGCAAGCTGACCGTGGACGGGCGGTCGCCGAGCAAGCTCACCCATGACATGAAGGCGATCCAGCGACAGGTCGCTGACGACCAGAAGCTCCTGCGTGATAAGGTTCAGCTGCTGAGCGGCGATGCTGGTGTGGCGCGGATGGACTCTGCTCTGTCAGACACGAGGTCCAAGTTCTTCGAAGCGAAGAAGAAGAATGCGAGTCCAGTAGCGAAACCTATCGCGGACGACGTATCTACCCCTGCTTTGAGCACCAATTCATCGTCATCACCAGTGAAGCAGCCAACGGAGAACGAGAGAATGGTGAATGAGATGCTTCATCAGGACGACGGCAGTGCTTTCGCTGGAAAATCTGACAGTGCTGCTGCCGAGGACGGTTTCCAGGAGAAATTGAGGGAAACCATGGAGAAAGCGTTCTGGGATTTGGTCACGGACTCCATGACAGGAGAAAAACTTGATTACAGCCAGCTGGTCAGCCTAGTCAAGGAAGTTAGGGACTCATTGCACGAGCTGTCTCCCAAGGGGTGGAAGGAGGAGATCCTTGAGAAAATCGACGTCGAAATCCTGTCTCAGGTACTCGGGTCAGGTTCCCAGGACGCACAATACCTGGGGCAGATCTTGCAATACTCGCTGGACATGGTCCGCAGGCTCTCCGCTGCGGCGAAGGAGGACCAGATGAAGAAAAGCCACGACAAGCTGCTGATCGAGCTGGCTGCGAGCTCTGAAGCTGATGATGCCAACGGCACCAGCTCGTTCGTCGTCGGTGCCGTCAAGGGCCTGCGTTTCGCCCTGGAGGAAATAAAGGAGCTGCAAGCAGAAGTGAGCAAGGCGTGTATCCAGTTGGCGATGCAGCGGATCATACAAGGCTCTACTGGCGTGGACTACCTGAAGAACGCTTTCGCCGGTCGCCATGGGCCTCCTGCCAATGCAGGAGCTTCCCTCCCTCTGACCGCGCAATGGATCTCGACGTTGAAGAACGTCGCCCGACAAGAGTGGAGGGAGCATTTAGGCTCTCTTTCAGTTGTGCCATCAGCAGCCCTCATTCCGGTACTCCATGCTGGTCATGGCGCTGCCGCTGCGGTAGGCCAGCCGTCTTCTTCTTCGCCGGCAGCTGCAGGGGGCGTTTCTGGGCAGCCCGAGTGCAAGGGTGACGAGCTTGACAAGATGATAAGGATTGGCCTGTTGCAACTTGTTAGCAACGTAGAGGGCTTGGGAACGCAGGCCATGTTTGGTACAGGAAGCGCTTCCCAGATAAGCTGCATAAATAGAGTAAAAATAGCGGTCAAAATAAGTTGATCTAATCCAATTTCTGCTTTTTAGTATAAATGAGAGCTGTGGAAATAAGCGTGGCCAAAATAATCTGCTAAAAAACGTGTCGTTTAGCCGTTGATTTCAGCTTATTTTGACCATAAACAATTTATAAGTTGTACCTTATAAGCTGTACCTAACAGGCCCGGCCCCCGGTCGACTCCTAGGAGCTTCCAGCTTAATTTGCTGAGGTTGAGGGCCGTGCAGAGCCAGTTCCAACAAGTCATCGTGATTGCAACAAGGTAACTAGCTATATTTTCTGTCCTTCATCTTTCAATCTAGTCTGTCAAAAAGATTAATTCTGAGGATTTTGATCCCAACTTGTGTTGTTTTTCCAGCATGCTCATCCTGCGTCAGGTTCTGATGGGCGAAAGCACAAAGGCCACTGCCCTGGAACTGGAAAACGCCACCGCAGAGCTCTTCAATGCTCTCGTGAAGACACTGGACGGCGGCTCCCCTGACGCCGGCGCCGAAGAGATAGTGGAGGCGATGATGAACGCGTCGGCGTCGGTTGGCTCGCCGTCGGAAGAGAAGATCCAGGGCAGAAGGCAGACGACCGCCCGGGTGCTCCTCAAGAGCCTCCAGCCGGGCGACGTGGTCTTCAAGATGGTCTCCCGTGCCGTCTTCTGCGCCTTCCGCGCCGTCTTCTGCGCCTTCCGCGGCGTCGTCCTTGGCGGCAGCGGCCACAAGGGCCAGAAGCTGGCCGACGTGGCGCTGCGCCGCGTCGGCGCGGCCAGGCTCGTCGACAGGGTGGTGAAGGCATCCGAGGTGCCGATCAAGGTGGTCACGGTATCAGGGAAGGTCCATGGCCCGTGGTACAAAGCTCTTCTGTGAATGTGAACAACCTGAATCTGATTCTTTTGTGAATTGTATATAGACGACGACGTGTAAATATATTCTTTTGTCAGTATCAGTATTAGTCAATTTAGGTTACAGGTCGTATTGTCATAGGTGAGAATACATTGTTTTTTAGCCTTGTGATTTGTGAACAACATGCAACATAGCATTTCTCAAATCTTCTAAGTTCAAGATCAAATGGTTAGCTAAACGCTACTCCCAGTGCATCACAATTTGTTAGTAACTATAGTTTTGTGATATGACCAAATCGTTCGTAGAACATATCACTGTCAAGTTTGCTGTTATAGGAAAACCCATCAGATAACTGAAGTTGTTTATACCATTGACTGCAAAGATGTGAAGATAAACTATAAATACCAAGTATACCGTTACCAACTGAAGTTCTGAATAAATCGGTGACTGCTAGTATCCATTCAGCTAATACAGAAGATGCAACATTGACCTTTCTTTTTCCGTTATTTTTTTAACGTAATGGCACGACCTCTGCCTTTCAATAAAGAAGAAAAAAGTTTATATACAACAATGAGGCATAAACTTCGCCAAACAAGACGGGACACAGCTCATTTTCTGAAACGAGCCACCTAGGATGCCCCTCCCAATAGCCAAAAGTGACTACTACATCTGGATTTGGAAAGCCCGTCTGTACTGTAATAAGCACTCTTTTGTTTTCGCTGCCACCCATAAAGCGGAAAGGCTTTTGTTTTAAAAAATTCGTCGATTGCCCTCACAGTTTCTACATAATGTAGATGACCATGGTGTTGAAACCCTGCCTAAGGTCCTTCATCCTTCTGAACTGATTTTGCTGCAGCTTCCCACCACTCCATGATGCTATCGAAGTCTGTCGGGATGGTGTTCTGTGGAATCGCTAGCTGTTCCAAGGTAGAGACCTGTGTCCAGTGGCGGATGCACGATGCGGGATAAGGGGGGCTAAAACAATAAAGATGTTAATTTGCATGAAGATTTAATGGTGAAATCAAACTTTTACTACAGTAATTAGTGGTGAAATCAAGCCTTTAGGGATCCGCCCCTGCCCGAACCATTTGGGCGAAAGGGCACACAGGAGACAGAGGTGATGGTTGGTTTCTGTTGGTCCATTGCATAGCGAACAGCTTGCATTTGTTTTCCGCACCGGCTTGCCAGATGAGTTTGGTATTGGAACGCTGACTGCCCCAAGAAAATATGCCAACTAGTACAGTGTACGTGCTAACGCTACGACTTTAGTTCAGGGATATACATAAAAACAACTAAACAACGATTTTTGTTTTCAGAGTTCAACTTTCATACAATTATATATAACCATGTATATACAATCCGAGAAACACTTACACGTAACGAGGCATAATAAAGTTATTTCTCGCATTAACCATATAATTTACAATCTGCCTAAGTCCTTAAACATGTCTTCGAGATCTTCATGGCCACTTCATGCAAACTTCATCCCAAATAATCAAAGATGTCGTACCAAGCTTCTTAAAGTAGATATAGCTTCTTAAAGTAACTCTATAATTCACTTTTGATAAATGAAAGAAAAAATTGTATTTGATCTTTTTTAAAATTAAATGGTAGATATAGTCATAAATATATGTGCGCAACCGCGATGGATATTTATCTGGTTGTTCCTCGGTTTCTCCCTCTCTCCCATCCTGTTTTTCTTTCTTCAAATGATTTTCGGATATTAGAAAGCTAACTAATGAAAATTATTGGACAAAAGAAAAAAAGCATTTCTTCTTGGCATAATCAACTGATTTATCAAGCAAGTTTTAAGTACTCCGTCTGTTTTAAATTTTAAGTCATTTCAGCTTTTCTAGATACATACTCCCTCCATTTTAAATTATAAGTCGCTTTGACTTTTTGTTTATCCATTTTGCTATGTATCTAGACATATTATTATATCTAAATGCATAACAAATTGAATGTACCAAAAAATCAAAGTGACTTATAATTTAGAATGAAGGAAGTAATTTTTACTATGTATATAGATATAATATATATTTAGGTGCATAGCAAAAGCTATATATCTAAAAATTAGAACAAAACTAATTGTCTCTAGCTTGCGTGTTCTATTTCATAATGGCCTTTTATTTTCATAATCACGTGTCAAGTCGGTTCGTTTATTTTGTAAACTCGATCGGGGAGTGTAGTGTGTTACTTTTGTAATACAGTGGTCTAACTCCTCTCTTTGGAGGATGAAACCGGATATTTCTTCTATTTTTTTAAAAAATAGGCAAAACCAAATGTGCTAAACCTCTTCATCGATCTCCTCTCTGTGAGCCCGGACTGTAAGTGACCCGTTTTGCTTCCTTGTCCGTCGTTGGTATTTTATGAGAAGAAAGGGGTAGACCTTTCCAGGTTTAGCCACGCTGCAGACGCTCCACTGCTCCTACTGACGTGTGGGGTCACCAAACCAGGTCCCACGTGTTTTTGACGGAAACATGCGAGTGGGTATGTTGGTAGGTCTGTCGCCATTCCTTATTGACGCAATACCAGAACGGCACGGAGAGTTTTGGAAGAGGCGCGTCAGATGGGACTGGGCTCGGCGTGGTTTTTTCCATTATAATGACAATTCTAGAAATTGCCTTGATCGGAGTCATGGATCCCTCCTTCCTATTTGGCTTGACTGACTTCCATATTTGTCTTGATTGACTTTCATTGGTTTCCATTTTACCGTAGACTGTGGGATGTGTGAGGCGTGCGTTGAAGCCTGGGTGGGGGAGATCCAAATAATGTTGCCCATCGGATCAAGTTGAAGCCTATGAGAAAGGATTAGGAGCCATAGATTTTAATGATATGGTAATCCTAGGTATAATTTCGTTGGTGCACAATGATTATAGTCTCTCAGTGGAGGACTTTTTTTTTAGACCTAGTATAGTTTTGATTGGCCCAAAGATAGGCCGAGCGAATAGAATATTTCCCATCAACAGTCGACTCCCAAAGGATGATGTTCTCGGTCTCCGGCTGTAGGTGAAACCCCTGCAATCCAATCCAGAGAGATACAAATTCCTCAATCTAATCCTAGGTGGCTCGTTCCACTAGTTTAGCAAATATTAAAAAAAAATGTTTCTTGCCGTGCCAGAACTGTTAATTATTTTATGAGTAAGTGTCCATTGGAAGCTAGAAATCATAACAATAAAAAACAATAGGCCGGCCAAAACAATAAGCCAGAAACACTGCATAACCATATATAGTAAATGAAGTAAAAGAGGTTCTATCATATTCTATAGAGAAAAACAATTTTCAGTCTCTACCCTGTGAAAGGAACAATTTAATTACAAAAACAAAACTATAACAAATACATGTAATTTAAAAAGGCACAGATGTAGTAAAAAAAGAAACACAAACCACATCAGTTTGGATTCTCTAACAGGAAACACAGGTTTCTAGAGATCCTCGGAATAATGGATGAAGGCATTTACGTTCCAGAAAATTTTCACATCATGTTGTTAAGGTGCCAATAAGTCACTGATCTAAGAACACAATTTACAGTGTAGTTAGTATGCAATCCATTGATGGCCCTGAATGAAGTTCTCCGTTGAGAAGTGTTTAACATGCTGTTCTGGTGTCTGACTGCTCCACTCAACCCTTGCTGTGTGGTTTGCACCAGGGCCTCGACTGTCAAACTCTCCATAATAGAGTGTCCTGAGAGCAAAATCACCTCGCCATGGAAGCCATCCCTCCGGCCTGACAACTGTCCCCAAATAACAGCTGACATACAATGTCCTGGCATACTCCTTCCATGGCCGCCCCAAATACAGCCTGTATGACTGTGGCTTTGTCCGAAACAATTCCACAAACTCTTTGTTCCCATCCACAGTGCAATTCACAAACACAAACCCTGTCGTCTGCCCCGGATCGATCCTCCCACTAGCCGCCACCACATTTCGTGCGCGCTTCTGAGCTCCCTCGGCCCGTGGTACAGTCTTAATCACACATTCCTCAAACACCGCTGCGGCATTCCCAAATATAAAATCCACTGTCCCTATAATATGGCACCTGCGGTAGAACTGCCGCATTGTGTGAGCATACAGGGTATCCTGATGCCCACGGAACTCTACATTCTCCAGCACGGACCGATCGCTATCTGAACGGAATGCTACAGCCTGATGAGCTCCAGCACCAGCACTGTTCTCAAATGTTATCTCTCGCGCGGAACCCATCACCGATCACAGCCACCGTCACAGTTTCATGAGTTCCCAGCCCATCAATCCCCACGCTCCGGGACGCAGTGATAACAGTAGCTCCCATACCCTCCCCCATCAGCAAAATGTTGGTCTTCTCACACGGAATCACGACATTTTCCTTGTATGTACCTGCAGCAACTGCTATGACCAAGTGCCCGGCGGTGTAGTTCGGCGCTGCATCCACCGCCGCTTGCACGGTCGAGTAGCCACACGGCTCCACACCGGAATTCGGTTTGCACACTGTGGCGTTAGGGCGGATCCTCGCAGGGAATGCAGCGGCAGTAGAGGGAGGTTTCAGGGCAGCATTTAGGGTTTGTGGGGCGAGGGAATCGAGGAAGCGGGACGTGAGGGCGTGGGAGCGGAAGGTCGGGAGCGAGAGGAGGTGGGAGCAGTCGTACTGGTACTGGAGCGAGCCGGAGGCGAGGTGGAGCGCGGCGGGGACGTCGCCGGACTCCAGGGACGATAGCGCGGCGCGGAGGCGGTGCAGCGAGAGGGCGAGGTGGTCGGCGCAGGGCCGCGCGTAGGAGGCCGGCGACGGGTGCGCCGCGACGGCCGCGCGGAGGAGCGAGGCGGGCGCGGTGGTGTGCTCCCAGGGCGGCGCGGCCGGGAGGAGGACGAGCAGCGCGATGAGCAGGAGCCCAAACGCCGCCGCGGCGAGCTGGAGGAGGCGACCGCGGCGTGGGAGCGGGTGGTGGTGGTCGCCGCGTCGGAGCGGACGCGGCGTTGGCGACGCTAGCTTGTGTTCTTCGAGGTGTACTAGATTCGTTCGTTCTCCATTGAGAACTGGGAGGAAGCGAGGCCGCGATAGTGATGGCGGATTTTGGGAAAGGCGTTTTACACACCTGTTAGCGTACTTGGCGTACTCCGTTACCAACTGACAGAGGATAAGCTGATCTCTTCCGGACGCTTGGTGCGCGCCGCGCGACCACGCTCGATGGCTCTTGAATCTTGGCTCTGAAGTGATCCGTTAACCGATGGATTTGGTCGTCGGAGGCGTCGTTCATGGGCGCCTCCCCGTCAGGCCATCAAGGTTTCGTCTTCTGCTCGGCTTGTTGCCCTCCACTACCGTTGCCGTGAGTGCTGCCTTTTCTGGATGTCCATGCCCACCCATCGTTCGTCGGAATGCCCCAGCGGTGGTGCCGTTTGCCAAGAAGAAGAGGAAAGGGTATAGCGAAGATCCGCCAGATGAGGAGGTGGCAGATGATTTCACCGACGAGTTGGAGGAGGAGGAGGTGGAAGAGGAGGAGGACTTCCATGCCGATGAAGAAGAAGAAGGCGGTAATGGTTTTTGTGAACTCTGGTGATGTTTGTTTTTCCTCTTATGATGTTTGGGAGTTTCTGTAGTCTTTCTGTGGGACGACTGGGGATAGTGGACCCTGCATTTTGCTCCATTTCTTGGCTCCCCTTATCTGACCGTTGGCACTGTGATGCATTTTCCCCCCTTAAAATTTTATTAGTGAGAAGCATTTTGCACATCTGATCCTTTTTCATGTGCTTGTGTCTTATCATTCATTATAAAGCATCCATGCTACGAAGATGTGTAGTATGATCATCTACACACAGGACCATGAGTTATCCTGCAATATGCAGACTCTTCCCTTTGTTTCAGAAGATGCAGTTGCATTGCACATTGTTTGGACCCAAAATCGCCACAAAATTGAGGGAAGATATCATTGCTCATTTGCCCAGCTCATTTCCTTGTCAAGGTTTATGCTTTCCAGCGTGAACAGTTGGAGGCGCAACAGTACAGTCTTGTTAGTAAATTGGGACGTAATGGTTCCCATTTACAACACATCTGTCTGAACTTGTGTGCTCTAAAACATACAGTGTTTCAGCAACCAGCATACTTGTCTGTTCATGACTTTTGAAGTCTCTTGCTCAGCTAGTATTAGTAGTTTCATATATAAGCCAAATAGTACTTTGTTATACCAAATAAAGTTACTCTGTTCCCCAAATCGTGCAGGTATAATGGATGATGATGAAGAGTTTGACGACGACTATGACTTTGAAGATGATTTTGAGAGTGATGATGAACAGGATCTTTATGTAAGTTTTACTTCACTTGGTCGAAAAATACACTGTCATTATATAAATCTTTGTTTATGTTCTGGAGGCTGGAGACGGAGGTGCGGGTGGCGGAATATCCCTTGCTGGCACATGGTGGGACAAGGAAGCTTTAGCATTGGCAGAACAGGTCTCAGCATTATTTGATGATGACTTGAAAATCTATGCTTTCAAGACAGCTGCAAATTTGACCATTAGAGTACGCATTGAGAAGATGTCCACCAGGTGTATATCTATTTGCAACCATATGCAGTTGTTTCCAGAGTCTGTTCATGGATATGTCAGCATGTTTGAGCCTGAAAAATGCATAGCATTTTGAGAGGAGGTTTCAGTCATCTGTTCAAAGGTTGAGTTTCAGTAAATCAACTAATCCAGATTGTGGCCTATATGCACCAGAACACGCATACAGTAGATATACTGGAAAATGACATGTTTTTGATGTACTCAAATGTAGATACCAGTAAGCAATGAACTAACTATGGAAGTAAAAGCATAGGCATCGTACTCAGGCGCAACACTATAGAACATATTAATTGGCTTACCAGATTCAGTTTTTTAGGGTCAATGATGGGGAGTGGTGTCGGGGGCAGGTTGGTATATTCCCACCTGATTTTCATTAGGCTTGGGTTTGGGCAGCTATAAATTGCTTTGCAGATAACCTTAAAGTCAAAGTTTTCTTCTGTGAACATGATTTATGTAATGCCTCTCATCAAGTGCTTGATAAAATAGGTACGGTTCTCCAACTATAGATGACATTGAAGCTTACACAATTGCATACCGTGCAAAGTTGGACGATGCAGAGTCAACAGGAAAGATACCAAAGAACATATCCTTGGAGGTATTCTCCCTCTGTACACAATGCAACTAGTTAAAGATTTCTACCATCTTAAAGAAACGAGCATCAGAAAGACTCTGCCTGTAGCTCTACTTGGTTTAAGGCACACACTTTTGGTTGATCACTTTGAAGGTGTCATCCCCTGGCGTGGAGAGAGTTATCCGTGTCCCTGAAGAGCTTGAGCGCTTCAAAGAACGGGCAATGTATGTCAGATACACTACAGCAAGCGATGAGGCAGCCACGCCTCAGGAAGGTGACGGCGTGCTGAGGCTAATTTCCTATGACATGGACCTGCGAGAGTGCATCTGGGGCATAGCTGACGTGAAGATAAACCGGCAGCAGTCTGGCAAGGGCAGGCCCCTGAGCAAGAAGCAGAGGGAATGGAGGCTGCAGACACCGTTTGAGTCGCTGAAGTTAGTCAGGCTGTACTCTGAATGTTGAGGTTCCAGTTTTTGAATAATTTTGAGTTGCCATTTTTGCACTCATTCAGAAGTTTATCCAGTTTTGCTGAACTCCGATAGGTCATTGGATGTGCAGTTTATACTAGTTAGAATGTTGTTGTACTATCTGTCACAGTCATTGATAGGTTTTTCTACTGCTAACAGATAACAACAGAGGTTTATAATTAGCCCACAAAACAGAATGTTCTTTGCGTCACCCTTTAGGACTTTATAGTTTACAGGCACTTGATTTATTGTTTGTCTTCTCCTCGATGTTTGTCTAATTTGTTCGTGACTTGTCAACGAGAATGGATTGCTTCACTGCTTGCATTGTTTTTTTTTTAGAATTTTAGGGCCAGGCCCCAGTAACTTAGCATTAAGATGACCTCATTGCTTGCACTGTAAGCTGAATGAGCTGCTGAAACCATGCCATCTCTAGTTTCTCTATCAGCCACTGTGTCAAGTGGGGCCTGTCACAGCGTTCGACATGGAAAGAAGATGGGCGGTCTGTACTCTGTTGTCGTCGGAGTCGGACGGTGCTATGGGATTCCGGGGGTTAGTAGTTTCAGATACATTTGGTGTTTAGTTTTTTTTGGGGATTTTGTTGGGTAGGCAGTAAGCTATAATTTTACTAGTAGGAGATTAGTTAGTCGATCTTTTGGCTGAATGATGATCAAATGTAACCAGCCCATATATACATATATGAAGATTGTTGTATTAGGGAGATGAAGCAATAGGTCAAAGATCTTATTTCCAGTCTCCTCTCCAGCGTGCTGCGTGCAGTTTCCAGTCTACTCTACTCTCCTGCTTGCTCTGTCCTAAAATAGAAGTTGTTCTCGCTTCCTCATAAGTCAGCATTTTTTAACTTTGACCAATTATATATAAAAGAATATTAATATCTATAATACATAATTAATATCATTAGATAGATCGTTGAATATACTTTCATAATAAACTTATTTAGAGATATAAATGTTGCAGGTATTTTCTACAAACCTAGTTAAAGTTGAGAAAGTTTGATCTGCACGCATTCGATAGCGACTTCTATCGTGGGACTGAGGGAGTAGTCAATAAAAAATCCCTGCGCATATAAACACTGAACCAGATGTTAATTAGCCCTTGCTTGTAGCAAGTGAAGTTCCCCGCCAAAACAAAGAAAGAAAGGCAAGTGGAGTATTGTTAAGGCACAAGCTGTAACTAGTCTAGTATAGTCCACAGTTTTAACTAGTACATACATATATACGCTCTATCTAAAATGTGTGCTTGCCATCGTCAAGGAGCAGGGCACAGCATCTACGCTGATGTAGCCGGTTGTTTCTTGCACTGCACATGTGTGCACTACAAGATTTCGACTCTATTGGCTATGTTCGCTTCTTTTATAATCCGTCTTTTTCAGCTTGTTTTTTCAGTCGGAACAGTATTTTTCTCTCACAACAAATTAGCCGGAACAGTGTTTCGGCTTGTTTTTTTAGCGAAGCGAACGGGACCATTGTCACTTGACATCATTTGCATCACCACAAATTGTGTTGTAATAGGGGTGTGTTTTACAACATTTGTCCAAAAAACATGGCAATAGGGGGGCTGTGTCGCCACAAAATAGTGTATTGTAATTTTTACGTTCGGCGTTGCAAGAAGTGAAACCTATAGCAACCTCTTTTTGAAAAGTGTTGCTATTGGTTAATAATATTGCCATGATGACATTTAGTTGCATTAGTATTGATTGGCGTTGCTCTTGCAACCAAATAGAACATTGTTGCCATTGCTTGAAATTATTGCCACAGTGTTGTTGGGTTGTAATATTTCTCACGACTATTGCAATAGGTAGACCGTGTATTGTGACTAAATTTCTAAGGCGATGTAATAGTTTATTGTTATTGTCATAGTTTTTGTTGGTTGTAATATTTCTTACAACCATTGCAATAGGTAGCTGTCTATTGCAACTAAATTTCTAAGGTGATGTAATAGTTTGTTGCTATTGCCATAGTTTGTAATATTTATCACAACCATTGCAATAGGTAGCTGTTTATTGCAACTGAATACCTAAAGCGATGCAATAGTATGTTGCTATTGTCACAGGTGTGTTTGGTTGCTATAAAATTTTAGTGTCGTTGTAATATGCTGTTGTAGTAAACACATGTATTTCATGGGCTTTAGTATAGCAGAAGGGCACAGGCCTGCAAACGAATCGACTACTCCTATCAATGACATACGTGATCCTCTATCGCTACTGTCGCCGCCAACTCCCGACGTTGGTGCACTAGCATGAAACGTGGAAACGCCAGTGCACACAACGGCCATCATCGGCAACAAAGGATCTCCGACGAGAGAAGCTAACGTAGCATCATCGTTGGTGTGGCTCTTCTCGACGTGCGCTGTTAGTATGTAGCAAGTGCAAGTCACCGGCTATTTGATACTTTTGATCATGTCTCTACAGTTTGATCGACAATTGATATTTGCTTCTTTTGCTAATCTAGTCGATTGATATTTGCGTTCGGGAGGCGACGCAAGTGATGGAGCGAGGGCTGTCTAGATACCAATGGCTTTTCATCTAATCATCACCAGTATATACTTTGATGCTCTGATGATTAACTACCTGTGGATGGTAGCAATAGTGTTATTATAAATTGATATATACATGAAGAATTGTACTTATGTCTGTTTGATCCGATCATCATGTAAACTAGGACAACCAGCTATCATTTATTTTACTTTGGTTATCCAACTTTACTTGGAAACATAATAATGTCACGAGATGATAGGTGGATGTGCATCGATAGATCTTAAGTTGAATGGCAAAACAAATTCCAGGAATTTAGTGAAACCACATTTGCTGACATCGATAATGTTCACGTGCTAGATGTCGATACATGGCGTACAGAACACAATCTGAGGTTTAGAAACATTTGCTTGTTAAAGGGTTTAATGAAAGTTTCATAGAAGGGGAAGGTATAAGTGAAGGTCCAGCTAATGATGACAATCATGTGATGCTTATCGCACTGTTCGTTTGGTTTATAAGCCGTACTAACAATATTTTTCTCTCACAACAAATCGACCAACAATATTTTCAGCCATAACTTATCAGCCAAGCAAACAGGGCATATGCCAGTACTGATCTGATTGCACTACTAATCAGATATTCTATACATGGAGACATCATCAAAGGTACTATACACAAGCTGCAAATTTAGATGCGAAGATGGGACAACAAATGAAGATTAGTTATTCAGAAGAAAAAAGAAACCAGCAACAACTGTTGAGTGGAGACTCAAAAGTTGTTGTGCTTGAGCTTTATCTATCAAAATTGAATAGTGTTACACCTCGACACCTTATTCATGCATGAGGAAACATCAACAATTAAAAAAATACAAATTGGATATTTTGAGGCATCTGTCATAGAGATTATCAGTTTCAGTCATTCCTTCAGCCAGTTACAAATCGAAGACAGGAAATATGCAACCCCAAGATGAAAATGATACTTCATATTTTATTTAGTTTGCTTTGCTCATCAAGATGTCTAATAAATTGGATAATTAGCAAAAAAAAAGGGGTGATGGTACTCAATAGAGGAGATTGATCAAAATATGCAGTTTTGACTACAAGTTTTTTTATCAGCAGACTATTTTAATAGTGATCAACAAGAGCAGTAAATAGAATAATAATTAGACTACACCTAGAAACCAACCAAATCTAAAACAAGACCTTTAAGAGAAATAAAACAACAAGCAATCTTAAGTTATCCAATAGTTAATAGAAAATCCAGTGACATTGATAACAATTATGCAAGACATTTTTAGAAAAGCATGTCAACTGTTCCAAAAAAACTACTAAAAACTACTAACAGCCCAAGCTTACGATCAGAGGCGCAGCTGCACCTGCCAGAGTGCCAAGGCAGCATCTTGCTGAGACCAAGACAACAAGAGCCAAATATGTATATTCTTGGTGGTCTAACATGTATACCTTTCTGAAAATCAGATGATGATAGTTTCTTAGATTAGATTCCAACAGTTGACTAGATAAAACTAGTTCAACACCTTACTATGAGATTTACACACAGATGCCATTCTGACACAATGCTTCCATACTTCACAACTTCAGCAAATCAGCAGTCAGTCAGAATATATGGCAGCATTTGAACTACCTCATGTGCTGCTATTTGGTCGCTCAGATGGAAGAACATTCTCATGTGCTACTATTTGCTCATCAGATTGGCTAATCTGATTACTCAAACCAAAAGCATCGGTACCTTCACTAAACAAGGTTGTCAAAAATCCCTGTCCATGCATATTCCTACATAGTGTCAATTCACATATTTGTATCCTGTACGTACAATTTTTATCATATGCAGCCTCTGAACCAAAGTGAAAATAAAATAACATGGTCTGAAGGAAGAAAAAAGAGGCTGCAAGTTTGCTGAACATTTGGCCAGGAAACAATTTTTGTGATGTTTCTCTAAATTCCTACAAATAATAACTGTAGCTAAAAGTTTCAGAGCAGAATGAACATAGGCCATACTAGTTACTCCCAATCCTTTCCAAACTATGGAGAAGTAACTGTGAACAATGGAACAGCTACAAATATTAGGACTGAAAAAAAAAAACAAGAATGATATGACCTGCAAGAGAAACTAACCATATGATCAGCTAGCAGGCTAACAGTTTTGGAAAATGGCTAACATCATTCTGTCTCAAAAGGTAACAGTATATGTTCAAGCTAGAAAACCATTACATATAAAACAATATAACCCAAAGTTTCCGATAGCACTTTTTTTGCTTCAGCCAATCCATAATCCATGTCAGGGAAAAAGTAAAATTTAAAATTCTCTTATCAATGACTACTGGAAGGGCGGGCCTGGTGCAAGCGGTACAGTCTTACCGCCTGTGACCGGAAGGTCCCGGGTTCGATTCGCGGTCTCCTCGCATTGCACAGGCGAGGGTAAGGCTTGCCACAAACACCCTTCCCCAGACCCCGCACAAAGCGGGAGCTCTCTGCACTGGGTACGCCCTTTAATGACTACTGGAAATCAACTTTCTGCAAGTGCTTTCTTGAGTTTTTTCATATGCATGGACAACCAAGAAAAGTTGATTGGCACAGCCATGCTTACCAAATAAAATCTTGTGAAGAAAGATTCCAATCTCCTAAAAATGGCACAGATAAGGTGAATATATCAGGTATTCAGTTGGACACAAGTAATAATGTGAGACATGAACTGACTGAAAGTATAAGTTATTTAAATGTACTGACCATGCAGGCATCCGAAGTTGGGACCACACCGTGTCATCTGCCTATGTGCTCATCACCTTTGGTTTGTTGAGATAATAGGATTCAGCAAGCTAGTACTGCAACAGCTTCTTCAAGCTCCCACTGAAATATAGGCTATAGAGTAATTAATTTGTTGGATTTCAGAAAATGAATAAGCAATTATCTGGACAAAAATGAATAATATTACTTCCTTTTGTGACTGAACTCGTAATAACTTGTTATTTCCAGTATGTTGTAAGTGCTAAGAGCATAAAAATTTACATAACAATTTTCATGGATGAAACAAACTTTTTAGATTACATGAGCTACAGGAGTTCCACCTTGGACCATACTATGGGCTGAAGTAACCATCAACAGATTTAATTTAGTATAATTAAAGGAAGCATGAAGGACCACTAAAAATGAACAATTAGTAGACACCGTGTCTCCCCAGTTGCTATGCTTTCACCTGGCGAAAAAAAAATTCCCATTATCAGACCACAATTTCTTAAATGAGGCCCTCTTTAGTTCCCAAAAATTTTCAACAAAAAATGTCACATCGAATCTTGTGGCACATGCATGGAGCATTAAATGTAGACGAAAAAAACTAATTGCACAGTTTTGTTGGAAATCGCGAGACGAATTTTTTAAACCTAATTAGTCCATGAAAAGCCTTAAGTGCTACAGTAACCCCGCGTGCTAATGACTGATTAATTAGTATCATTAGATTCGTCTCGTAGTTTCCTGATGGGTTCTGTAATTTATTTTTTTATTAGTATCCAAAAACCCCTCCCGACATTCTTCCAACACATCCGATGTGACACTCAAAAATTTTCACCCCACCAACTAAACACCCCCTGAGTCAATCACATATGGAGGAGAGTTGGATCACTGATATACAGTCATACATGCACACATCACAATTGAGAATGCTTTTCTACGTGTCATGCACTCGGGTTGTAGGGGTGTTGATTTTTATGGAGAGATTAGTATCATCGATTAATGAAGGTGACGATCAAGGATCTCCGACTCCTTATATAGTCCCAAGGATAAAGTTATAGATGAAATTTTGATCGACCTACAGATACAATTTTCTAGTTTGTTACTCCCTCCGTCTTAAAGATAATAGGCGCAATTCAAAAAATGCTATGGTTAAGGAACGGCAAGCAAGGCGCGTCTCTACCAGGACTACTAGTATCTAGTATACTAACGGCACGCATAAAGTTGAGGAGTCAACAGCCAACACTAAATGTGTGCATGCAAAGCTGAGTATTACAATGCCTCAAAAGCCTCCTTACAACGAGGCTTACGATTGAGAATGCTTTTCTATGTGTCATGCGCTCGGGTTGTAGGGGCGATGATGATTTTTATGGAGAGATTCTACAATGGGTATTGTCGATTAACCAAGGTGAGGATCAAGGATCTCCGACTCCTTATATAGTCCTAAGGATAAAGTTATAGATGAAATTTTGAAGGATAAAGTTATAGATGAAATTTTGATCGACCTACATATACAATTCTAGTTTGTTACCCCCTCCATCTTAAGATAATAGGTGCAATTCAGAAAATGCTACGATCAAGGAGCACTATGTTCCTAGAAAGTAACGTCTAGTATACTAACAGCAAGCAAGGTACGTCTCTACCAGGACTACTACTATCCAGTATACTAACGTCACGTGCAAAGTTGAGGAGTCAACAGCCAGCACTAAATGCGTGCATGCAAAGCTGAGTACTATAATGCCTCAAAAGCCTTCTTCTCTAGGGCATGTAGGGCACCCACAATGGTTAGAGTGAGTTACTAGCTCTAAACCAATTTCTTTAATAGTGCTATCTTTTAGCACATAGCTTTTAACACAAATAACCCACATGACACCCTCACATAACTTTAAAATATGTACGAGAGTGTAGCTTTTAATTAAGAGCTAGTTTTTCTCTCTATTCTATTAAAATATAAACAAAATACTTAGAACTAGCTTAAAATTCGATTGTTGGAACTACCCTTAAAAATGCAATTGCACCTACTATCTTGAGACGAATGGAGTATAAGGAAAAATCTAATTGGATCTGAGCAAATATTTTACAAATTACTTGGAGCTGTCCTGTTCGCTCGAATTTATCAGCCTGACTTATCAGTCATAGAATAGTATTTTTTTCTCACAACAAATCCAACTTTAACCGGCTCCTAGCTTGACTTCGTTCGCGTGCCCTTAAATTCATCCAGATTCATCCAACTGCGTCGTGTGTACCCGGCAAGGGTACCCCGGACTCAATATAACGACAACCAGGCCTATGGAACCGCACCTGCGACATTTGCTCGTGAGTACGTGTGATCTGGTTTCTGAAAAAACACTTCGCGCGGTGCGCAAGAATGACTACTTCCTAGTGGCTGTCATAGTTGACACGAGGCAAACATAAGCGACTACACAGCGTCACTTTTGTACTTCACCGAGCGTAAATGACTACATCGAACAATATACATTGCGTCGACTAGTGGGAATGGTGTCACCAATGCCTTCATTCTGCAATTATTGTTGATTTGTTTTTCATCTATATGATCAATATGGGTATCATGAATTTATTTTAAGAATGGATCACTTGTATACATACTTATAACAAATATATTTATATTTCTAAATTAAAATGTATTTTTATGTCCTAAAATAAGTACACGTCTTGTTTATTGAGGAGGCAATTTTTTAAATTTTTTTGACCAAGTATATATAAGAAAATATCAATACTTTTAATATGTAATAATTATCATTAGATTCGTAGTAGAATATAGTTTTATAATAAATTTATTTAAAGATATAAATATTAATATTATTTTTTATATATTTAGTTAAATTTAGAAGAAATTTGGTTGGTCCTTAAACGAGATATGCACTTCTTTGGGACAGAGGGATTACATAAATTAGATACTTGATGACACTTCTCACGAGATATCCTTAGTTTTAATAAATTGTAGCATTTGGCCTCTTTCTTTCGTTTCCGGATTCGCCACCGAGAGTACTGTCAACTTGTCAAGCAGTACCATTATACAATAATACAATGACGACAAACATAAAGAAAAGAGAGACTTTTTATGGGTCAGAGAAGATTAGGGAATATTACTGAAAGATTCGTTTGGTTCTCTCTTTTTCTAAGGGCCAGGACGCCAAAATCTTTAGCAAAATATTACTGTAGCGTTTTCGCTGTTATTTGATAATTAGTGTCTAATCATAGTCTAATTAGGCTTAAAAGATTCATCTCGTAGATTTCGTCTAAACTGTGTAATTAGTTTTATTTTTTATTTATATTTAATATTTTATGCATACGTCTAAAGATTTGATGTGACGAAGAATGTTGAAAAATTTGACATTTTGAGGTGCAACAGCGCCTAACCCTATACGGAGTAGTAGGTATATTGGTTGGCTAGAATAATACTATAAGCAGTTATGTATATCGGACAAGACAACGGCCGTTGACTTCTTCACAGAAACGTCGAAATCACACTTGGATCGCCGGTGATGGAGATCCAGAGCCCGTCGCCGCCGCCCAGCCCCTGCCCACTCCTACGCTGCCGCGGCCGCCGGGAGCAGCACCACGGCGAGGCGTGGGTCCACGTGGCCGTCGGGAGGTCACCGGAGAAGACGCTTGGGCTGCTACGATGGGCCCTGCGCCGCTTCGGGTGCGGCCGCATCGCCCTCCTCCACGTCCACCAGCCGTCGCCGGTCATCCCAACCCTCTGTGAGTACTCTCGACGACTCAATCATCATCTGTTGCATTTCTGTAGTTCAACCATTCACCATTCATTCATTGAACAACCAAACTAAATGAACTGGGAAAAAAACCAGTAGGAAAGATCCCCGCGGCGCAAGCCACAGAGGAGCTGGTGCTCTCCCATCGCGAGTCCGAGAAGGAGGAGATGAACAAGATCCTTCACACCTACCTCGCCTTCTGCCACAAGGCCCAGGTCCAGACTAGGCTTCTTGTCACGGAGAACGACCAAATCCACGATGGCATCCTTAGCCTGGTCGACCAGTACAGGATCACCAAGCTCATAATGGGTTCTGCACCTGATAAGTATGCTTCTCATCATATCTCTTGAAGCTAGTAGCACACATTATGCTCTACTATTTGTCAGTGAACTGTATCCTGGCCCGCCAAATGCGTGCAGTTGCTTCAAGTTAAAATATGGCAAAGAATCTTTGATGGCCAGCAATGCTCCTGCATTCTGTCAAATCTGGTTCGTGTGGAGAGGAAGGCACATCTGGACCAGAGAAGCGAGTGCGGCCGCCGACAACGCTACCCCTGTTCAGTACCAAGATGATGTGATGACTACAAAGAGAATTAGGTTCAGCTCATATGCTAACAACACTGGACCCATACTTGATGAAGGATATCTTGCGTGCGAGGCATTAACAACAGTTGATCTAGATCAAGGCGTTGTTTCAGATTATGATCGATCTAATGATTATGAAGCTTTTGGGGCACATGAAGCCAACCATTTCAACAGTATGAGCATGTCAGATTGGCAAGATGATACAGAAGCTGCACTCAACTTAACATTCTGGTCTGATTCTTCTGTACATGTTGATACATTACAGTTATATTCTAAGGTGGTCACTCTGCTTCATTTATCATTTATATACATATGCATCAGTAACTCATGCTTGAAACTTGTGTTAAACATTATGTGGATAGTATTTCAGGAATTATTGGCCAGAAATGTCAAACAAGTAATGATGGAAGCTGACAGATCAAGGAAAGAAGTTTTTGTTGAGCTGATGAAGCGCAAAGAAACGGAGTCAAAAGCTGTAAGTGCTTTTGCCAAGGTATGTGCCATCTATTCCTCACCATTTAAGCTATCGCGTACTCCCTCCATTCCAAATTATAGTTCACTTAGCTTTATCCTAAATCAAACTTTTCTAATTTTCACCAAGTTAGTAGAAAAGTATATTAACATCTACAAGTTCAAATAAATGCATTATTAAGACATTGTATTGCATGGAGAATTTAATGAAACTAATTGTAGATGTTAATGTATTTTTCCATAAACTTCGTCAAAAGTTAGAGAACTCTTTCTTTCTCCAATGCGCAAGAGATCTACGTAGATTTCATTAAGCGAGGAGAAAGGCCAAAAATAGTCAGGTACAACGACCAAAATCGACTGAACATGACCATGACTTCCACGACCAAGATCACTAACCATAAATAATAACCTCAGGAAGGATGATCTTACAGCACCAAACAAACCCCCAAACACCTTATCGGACCAAAATGAAGCCTATACAAAAAACCATGAAGACCTATATACTCTCCAACCGTCTCAAGAGGCAACATGACCAGACCTAAGACAAAGCTAAAGTGAACTATGTTTTGGAACGGAGGGGTTATTTACATTAGTGCCTTATTCTTGTAACTGTACATAACATTACTATAACATCAGTTGAAATCCAGATACTCAGCAGTAAACATTTCATGTCAATTAATGTGAAGAAAACTATTTCACTTGTTCATTTGTCTTAACCATCTCATGGTCTCTATGCAGACAAAAGATTCTGATTCTGCTAAAAAACATGAAATGAAAATGAGGGAGGAACTTGAAGTTGTATTGGTAGCCACAAGAAAGCAGCATGAAGATCTCATAAAGAATAAAGAGAGAGCAGTATCAGGGCTGAACTCATCTATGAGAAGATTAGCTATCCTAGATGCCCATTTCGAAAAAATAAAGCTTCGGATAGATGAGTTTTCAGCAGAGCTTGAAGTGATCCAATCTTCCATAGAAAGTCTTTGCCAGAAGAAACTAAAAATGCAAACGCTCGAAAACAGACACATTCACCAGGTTAAGGGGTGCACATACAGCCATGCCACACTGTCAAATTGCGTCTCAAATGCTTTTGGAGATGATTTGTACAACTTCAGAGAATTTACAATGTTAGATATGCAATCTGCTACATGTAAATTCTCAGAGAGCTTCAAGATATGGTCACAAGGTCATGGGTGTGTTTACAAAGGAGAAATTATGAACAGAACTGTGATGATTTATAAGCTGCACTGCCATAGCATTGAGAGTGTGAGTCAGTTCCAGCAAGAGGTATTCCATGCTTCTCTGATTTTCACACCAATGCACTCTAGAACTTATGGAAGTAATTTTGCGGACATGTGAACACATGGTACTGGTGCATGACACATTTTTCACTGGGCTTGCAAATTTCTGCTTGTTTGCTGCATATCTTAGGTCTGATGGCAATGCAGATGTATTTGGAAATTGCTATTGAATTCATGGGAACCTTTTATCAGTTATGTATGTGTCTAAGAACATATCCTTGGTTAGCTGTAGATACTTATTTCTGTTTTTCGTTTTCTATGTCAGGTTTATATCCTCAGCAAGGTGAGGCACCCTCATCTAGTGACACTGGTTGGGGCATGCCCAGAAGCACTGTGTCTCGTTTATGAATATCTGCCGAATGGGAGCCTTCATGACCTATTCAGCAGAAGCAATAGCCGTCCCTTGCCATGGAAAATTCGTGCGCGCATTGTTGCTGAGATCTCGGATGTATTGGTGTTCTTGCATTCCTGTAAACCTCAGATGATCGTACATGGCAACTTGAAGCTTGAGAACATCCTCCTAGATACTGAATGTCATTGCAAGATAGCCGATTTTGGTATTTCTCGGCTATTCACGGATGACATGAAGGATTACCCATCAGGTGGTTCTGAGCTGAAAGGGTCTTTTCCCTATGCAGATCCAGAGTACAAGAGAAGCAAAGTATTAACACCGAAGTCTGACGTATACTACTTCGGCATTGTGATACTCCAGCTACTGACCGGAAAACAAGAGCCTGCAGGGCTTGCTGGTGAAGTAAGGCGTGCTATGTCTTGTGGCAAGCTATCAACAATTCTCGATCCGACTGCTGGGCAGTGGCCTATGGAGGTGGCTGGAAGGCTAGCAGAATTGGGCCTGAGGTGCAGTGAAGACAGCAGCCGAGATCGCCCAGACCTGACTCCTGAGACTGTACGAGAACTGGAACAGCTACACTTGATGAGGCAGGAACGAGCACCCTCCTCTTTCCTGTGCCCAATTATGCAGGCAAGTACCATCATCTTGCACTATTGTTAACTAGGGAATGGGTATGGGGTTGGATGTGATAATGACAAGGAACTTGGTATTTTTCTTCCTCTTCTGTTTTGGCCTGCAGGAGGTAATGCATGATCCTCAGGTGTGTGCTGATGGGGTGACCTATGAAGGGTGGGCAATCCGTGAGCGGATGGAGACTGGGCAGGGGACGGCGCCTCTGAACAACCTGAAACTAGAGCATCTCAATCTCACACCTAACCACGCCCTTCGGTTTGCTATCCAGGATTGGCTTCGTCACTCTCGCTGATGAAACTTTTGCTAGGCGTTTCTTTTGCTTTTTCGATCTGTATAGATTCACGTGTAAAAGGGAATAGCATATGAATAATTTGAATAGCTGTTCTAAGGTTTTGTCTGTATGAATTGACGAAGAGCTTAGTGCTTCATGAAATGCATTAGGATGTATATATGCGGCAATGCAGGTTCAGGATCAGTCACATAATTTTTAGTAAGCGTTGTTTTCCTATGCCTCTTATATATGGCCTATGTGGACATCTAGATCTGACTTTTTATGTTTGATGAAACTTCACTCTTCTTGGATCTCCTTACAATTTGCCAAAGCCCATCCTTCTGTGTAATAATTAATCAGTGTACACTATAATACACATTTAAAGAGCGTCAAATAAGACTTTTTTTCACTGGTGTGGCATGAGATTTACAGATAAGGTAGCAGGATGATCTAAATGATACAGCTTGGGCACAAAAACCAAGTTTTGCTAACTGCCCACATGTTTTAGATCCATTGTCAAAACCACGGTGAACTAGGCGACTTGCGCATTGCAGGTTATGCACTTAGATTATGTGGGATCATCCTGCAGTGGACAAATCAAACGCACCCTTAGCACTGATTGAGGATACAATTGATATTCAACATGGGGAACTGGGAACTCAGAGATAATATGTTACACTATAAAGTCCACATGCAGAGGTGTATGGTAGAAAAAAAAAGTGAAGTGGTAGTTAGCTATTTTTTTTATGGCTGCGTTTTCTGAAATTACTGACGTGGTAGTTAGCTATTGGATGAAAAAAGCGAAGGAATTCCGTCAAAAAAAAAGCGAAGGAATTCCAAAATTGAATGAAAACAAACAACACAGTCTCCCGAATCATTGTTCTGGGCCTTGTGGGCCGTCTACTTTCTCTCTTCCGGTGGTTTCCTTTCCTCGTGTTGACCTAGCCAATTTCTTCGACCGAACAAAACACAGCCGCCGTGCCCTCTCGGCTCCCGCCCACGGCGGCCGCCGCCTCTCTTCCACCCACAGCCGCTGCCGGCTGCCGTCTCCAGCGGGCCCCAACAAGCGAGCGAGCGAGAGAGATACAAAGGCAAACCAAATAGAAACTCCTCGAACTACCTCCTACTAAAACCCTCGACGTCGGGAGCGCCGCGGCGGCGGCGAGATGAAGAACCTGCGCCTTGTGACGAGGCTCCCGCAGCAGCTCCAGCTCCGGATAGATGGCGAGACCCTCGTCGCCTCCGCCATCGATGCGGAGCGCCGACGCGCCTTCTTCGCCTCCTCCGCCAACTTCATCTACACCGTCTCGCTCCCCGCGTCCTTCACCCAGGAACAGGTCTCCAATTCTACCCCATCCCATCATCCTATTTGATTAGCAGCTGCCGCGTCTTGCGGATCAAGACGAGTTTAGTTTTCGTTTCTAGAAAGCCACAAAGAACACTTAATAAAAAACAAACAACGCTTACTAAAATGTTGCTGTATAGCCAATTATTTTAATTTTTCAGTCTAGGAAAAACATCGCTACGCCAACAACTTCATCTTGTAGCTTTCCATGTCGTGCTGACTATCCTGCTTTCGTCTCACTTCCGCAGCAACCGCTGCAATGGAGCAAAATTGCTGCTCAACACTCCGACATGGAGGAGGTTGTTCTTGATCCTGGAGATTGTATTGTTGCCATGGATTATCTCATGGAGAGGGAGTCTCTACTCCTTGGTTCGTCAGCCGGTTGCCTGCTCTTGTATAATGTGGACGAGAAAACAACTGAAGTTGTCGGAAGACTGGAAGGTGGTGTCAACACCATTGCCTCTAGCCCCGATGGGGCCCTTATCTCTGTCACCACTGGACTCGGCCAACTGCTTGTCATCACACAGGATTGGGAAGTGCTGTTTGAGACTTCTCTTGACCCTCAAGTATGTTTTATATATTAAAGTCTTGCTGAATATACAAGTTCTTTTGTGTGTGTGCTCTCCCCCATTCTAAACATCCTTCTTCTCAGGATGCTAACATTGACAACATAGACAGTACCGGTGGTCAGATCCGAAGCGCAATTTCTTGGCGAGGGGATGGGAAGTATTTCGCTACACTTGTAGCCCCCGATAGCTCTTCTAGCCCCACAAAACTTAATGTCTGGGAACGTGAATCAGGAAAGGTGCATTCTTCTTCAGATGCCAAAACTTTTATGGGAGCATCGCTAGATTGGATGCCTAGTGGAGCCAAGGTTGCTACAGCTTTTGATAGGAGCACAGAGGGAAAGTGCCCTCTCATTGTTTTTTATGAGAAGAATGGCTTAGAGAGGAGCCACTTTTCTATTGATGAGCCATCCGAGGTTGTCATTCAAGCTTTAAAGTGGAACTGCAATTCTGAGATCCTTGCTGCTCTGGTTTCTTCTGGTCAGCATGATGTTATCAAAATATGGACCTGCAGGAACAATCACTGGTACTTGAAACATGAACTGCAGTATACAAAGGAAGAGGGGGTGAGGTTCTTTTGGGATCCAACGAAACCAATGCATCTGATTTGCTGGACACTGAGTGGCCAGGTCATTATTCACAAGTTTGTTTGGACTACGGCAGTCAGTGAGAGCTCAGTTGCACTTGTGATTGATGGTTCCCATGTTCTTGTTACTCCTCTTATTTTGGGCCTCATGCCACCTCCCATGTCTCTGTTCCACCTTGCATTTCCTTGTGCAGTGAATGAGGTTTCTTTTGTGACCAATAACTCGAAGAGCCACTTGGCTGCTTATCTGTCAAATGGCAGCTTGTCTATTGTGGAACTTCCAGCACCAGATACCTGGGAAGAATTTGAAGGCAATGGGATAAGTGTTGACCCGTGCTGTTCTGACTTAACTTTGAATAACTGTATGCACCTCACTTGGATAGATACACGCACCTTGATTGGTATCTGTTGCTATAGTGAAGATTACTCTTTAACAACAATCAGGTCCAGTGAAACCAGAAACCTTGTAGATAAACACGATTCGCTGTTTTTCATCAATGAGATTGAACTTAGATGTTCCGAGGATTCTGTGCCAGGTTCAGTGAGTTCATCTGGCTGCCAGGCTAGAGTATCAAAGAAAGTGCAATTGGAGAGTTCAGTCGTTGGAGTCTCTCCAAACCCAGCAAAAGGAGGTTCAGCCTTCATTCAAATTAGCGGAGGAAGGATTATTGAGTACTGCTCAAGTTTAAATCTGTCGAAAATGTGTCCACCAGCACAATTCAGTGGCATTGGTTCTGACCTCTGTTTTCCAGCATCATGTCCTTGGATGACTGCAGTTCTGTGCTATGAAAATGGTATGGCAGAACCCTTTCTCTTTGGACTCGATGAAAGCGGCAAGCTTTATATGGGCAAAAGGTTATTGAGCAACAACTGCAGCAGCTTCACATTCTACTCCAGTGCTTATGGAGCCACTGAGCCAGTTATGAGCCACTTGCTTGTGACTACTAAGCAAGATCTTCTATTCATTGTGGATGTCAATGAGATCTTACGTAAAGACATCGAGGTGACAATTGACGGCCTTGTCAGTAGTCCTGCTCGTGGAAAGCAAAGCAAAGAGCACATCACTGTGTGGGAAAAGGGAGCGAAGTTGGTTGGTGTTCTCCATGGTGATGAAGCAGCTGTCATAATGCAAACAACACGTGGTAACTTAGAGTGTACCTACCCCAGGAAGCTAGTCCTTGTTTCAATTGTTCAAGCACTGGTTCAGAGGCGTTTCAAAGATGCAATAGACATGGTGAGGAGGCATCGGATAGATTTCAATATCATCGTTGACTATTGTGGTTGGAATGCTTTTATGAATTCAGCAGCAGACTTTGTTAAACAAGTTAATAACCTTACCCACATCACTGAATTTGTTTGCTCAATGAAGAACAGCAATGTCAGCAGCAAATTGTATGAAGCCTATATATCATTTCCTGATCAGTGTGCAGTCCCAATGGCAGATAATGAAAGTTCACCTGGTTTATTTTTGGGTAACAAAGTCACTTCTATACTTATGGCAGTTCAAAAAGCCCTTGAGGAACAAATAGAAGAGAGCTCATCAAGAGAACTTTGTATATTGACCACTTTGGCCCGTAGTGAACCTCCATTGTTGGAGCAGGCACTGAATAGAATAAAACTCATTCGAGAATCGGAACTTCTTGGGCTTGATGACGCCAAGCGAAAGCTCTACCCTTCTGCTGAAGAGTCGCTGAAGCACTTGCTTTGGTTAACGGACACTGAAGCTGTTTTCGGTGCTGCTTTGGGGTTGTATGATCTGAATCTTGCTGCTATCGTTGCTTTGAATTCCCAAAAGGATCCAAAAGAGTTCCTTCCTTTCCTTAAGAGTCTTGAAAGCCTTCCTCCTGCTATCATGAGGTACACGATTGATTTAAGGCTTGGAAGATATGAGAGTGCTCTCAGAAACATTGTTTCTGCTGGCAATGCGTACCATGAGGATTGCATGAAACTCCTTAATGGCAATCCTCAGCTGTTCCCACTGGGCCTCCAGTTATTTAATGAACCAGATAAAAGGAATCAAATTCTTGAGGCATGGGGTGACCATCTTTCTGGAGAGAAATGCTTTGAAGATGCCGCATTGACTTACCAATGCTGTTCATCATATCAGAAATCACTGAGAGCTTACCGTGCTTGTGGGGACTGGAGAGGTGTTTTTACCATTGCAGGTCTTTTGCAGTTAAAGAAGGAAGAAATTGTTCAGCTTGCACATGAGTTATGTGATGAGTTCCAGGCGCTTGGCAAGCCAGGAGATGCTGCTAGAGTAGCACTGGAGTATAGTTCAGATGCTGAAAGAGGTGTAAGTTATTATATCATGGCAAGGGAATGGGAAGAGGCTCTTAGAGTTGCCTATATGCTTAGCAGGCATGATCTGGTTGAAACTGTCAGAGATGCAGCTTCAGAATGTGCCACATCACTGATATCTGAGTACCAGGAAGGACTGTTGAAGATTGGTAAATATGTAGCACGCTATTTGGCCGTCCGTCAGAGGAGATTGTCACTTGCTGCCAAACTCCAGTCAGAAGATCGGTTTATGGACGTTGAAGATGACAACGTTTCAGAAGTGAGCACTAGCTTCAGTGAAATGAGTGCATATACCACAAGGTAAGAGGCTGCACCTTGCACCATTTGGAGTTGCACAACTCGTGTTATCTCTGTTTATCATTCCTCTCTACATACTTTCAGAATATCTTGTTTCAGAAAGAACACTAAAATTTAATCCTATCTGTGTCATGTTACCTATCAGTGTGAAACTCTGAATTCTGTGTGGACAGGTCAACCAGGGAGTCAAGTGCTTCGGTCATATCCAGCAATGTCAGCAAATCACGAGGAGCAAGGCGGCAAAAAAAGGGTGGCAAGATACGAGCTGGAAGGTCGGCATCCTGCGCTTTTGGTGTTGATTAGGGTTTGTTTGTTGTGTGGACTCACCTTGTCTTTCTTTGTGCATGCAGTCCCGGGGAAGAAATGGCCCTTGTGGAGCACCTCAAGGGGATGGCGCTGACAGGTGGTGCCCAAAATGAGCTGAAGAGCCTGCTTGTGGTTCTAATACAGCTGGGAAAAGAACAAAGAGCCCGTCAGGTGCAGGAGGCCGCCGATAACTTTGAAGTGTCTCAAAGGGCAGCGGTGAAGTTAACCGAGGACACAGTATCTAACGACAAGGTAGACGAGAGCACACACACCCTTGAGCATTACATAAGAATGCTGAGGGCTCATAGGTCGGGTCACAGCGAGGCCGGTTCATGGCGAATCAAAGCATTGTCTCCCCTGTGACAGGGCGAGTGGTTTAACCGATTAGCAATTTATCATCGTTTAAATAGGGATGAAGTGTTGTGTTCTTGTGAGTGGTGAAAAAAAGGTCAGGCTTGATCTTATCGATGAACTGTTGTAGCCTCATTTGAAATTTTGGTGACTGGTTGGGCTGTTGGATTGGATTTGTGTTGTACTGGTGGTGGTCTAGGGATTTTATGTTGTGAGCCAATACCAGATTTGTCCACTTTTTTGACATTAACAATCAACAGAATTGCGCCATGTGTAATCATGGGAGCAAATATTAGTGTATATTGTCATGGGAGCAAATAATCCGAGCACGAATATCATGGTAGTATTTTCTTTTTCTTTTATGCTAAAGACCTCTTGTCGAAGGTAACTCAGCTTGAAGCTACGCGTACGGTCTCGGACTCCAGAAGCTGACAGAGCAACTGAGGTCAGCAATGATCTTACTTACCATGACTACATATATATACCATCTTCTGACAAACAATGTATACCTTTAATTACCTGTTGACTAGTACGTACGACGTACCACCAGCTTGCGTTAAGCTAGTTCAGTTACGTTCGATTGAACTTATCAGTCATGTTACAGTGTTTTTCTCTCACAATAAATCAGCGAACATTACTTTTTAGCCTTGCATTTTTGTGAAGCGAACAGGGCCAGAGGGCGAGAAGCAGGGTACTTAGCTAATATATAATTGGATACAAGGGGTTCATGAAGCAGGATACGTCTGAAAAGAGGGCAAGAAAGTTAACGATGACTTTCCTTATAGCCTCAGAGTGAAGCTAACTCTTGAGTCTTGACTTGACAAACATGAAGAGGCGAGATTGCATTAATCACAAGTGTCGTGATCTTCCATTCCATCGGCGTCAACTACCGGAGAGATCGCGCCGATTATTGTAATCTTTGCGGTTGGGGGATTAACATCGGACTAATTATATTATAATATAACCAAGCTAGCTAGCCCACTATTTCTTCATTCTGGCCACTGTGACTAGCTATCTATCTATCTGAAGTTTTTGGCTCCTTGCTGCTTGGATATTTTTTGCCGCGACGCTGGCGATCGATCGGGACGGAAGATATGGCATAGAGTATGGGATGGGTGAAGAAGGAAGCAAAGCTAAAGATCGATCGGTCGGCGTGAAGTGACAGGATAGATGCTTAATATAAGATAGTAATATGCGCGTGACTGTGTCTGCGCACCTAATCCAGCTTTAATTTATGTATCCGAAATGTGATTCCTAGTGTTGCTATCATCAGCCTATCAGGGCATGTATATATGTGCGATTGTATATTCCTATCTTAAAGACTTCAACGATTACTTTGGTTAATCTATCGATCAGACAATCATTACAAATTCAAAAAAATCAGACAATCATTATATATGCATATATACAAGCCATGATTCCTCATGTGTCGTCGTCTATCGGTCCCAAGATCTGAAATGTAAGGATCTTGATGATAACGCTATATAAACAGGTAAAAATGCTTCCGGCGGCTAGTGCAAATCATTAGACGAATTTTGCTCTCCGTGTGTGCCTCGTAATCTTGTGCCAGTTTGCACTTTGTCTACATTATAGTATGTGCGACCATTATCCCACGATCTAATTTTCCTCGACTCCCTTCTCAAGGAAGATGGGCGTGTTTGATTTGAGGAGTCACTCCATTCTAGAGGAGTTGCTCTGTCATGAACTTATTCTTTAAATTTGATTGAATGACTCAATTTCTCATTCTAATACTAACTATTAGCTTACGAGAAATGAGGTAACAATGCATCAACCTATTCTATTACACAAACGAAATAAAAAAAAAAGTGAGGAATGAGTAGATGATGGACCAACTCATTCCTAAAACCAGACACAGCATACATTTGATGTTTGTTTAAGCTAACTTTCTTCTAATGTTAGATCAGGATCTATGTGTTCAGATGAACTTCCCCTTCCTTATTTTAGCACTATCCCGATAATTCCTTTCTCGCTTCCCTTGTCTCTTCGTTTTCCTTTTCCTGTGCCTAATAGCACCGCCCCAACTCCCTGGCAACCTCAAGCATCCATATGGTGCCAATGGGGTTTGAAACAGTATCAAGGAGACCTGATTTATGGATAAGTAAAATGTTAGACAACTCTTGTGAAGAATTTGATTGTTTATCTTTCATTTTTTTGCGCATAAGAATTTGATTATTTATCATACACGTTCACTGCTTTTTTTTTCTTTTGAAATTGTTCATTGCTTGTGTTGGTGAAATGTCTCGAATATTTGTTAAATAGATGGCACGCACGTCAAAAGAATAGTCCAGATCAGCGCACACATAACAGACTTAATAGCCAACCAACCAATTTTGATCAGATACACTGTGAGCTGGAAAGCAATATATATTAGCAGGCGGCGTACGTAGAAGTGCTACTCAATACTCTATGGCCGCCAATATATTCTCGTACGTTATATTAGCTCGGGTGCGTGTCGTTGCCTTTTATTATAAAAAGATGATTGAAGTTTGATTTGCCCCCTTAAAATTGCCATCGAATTTACAAAACATTATTGAACTCGACTACTGGACAGTATACCCCTCTTATATTAACTTTTAAAACCGGATAAATTAGGCCCCTAAAATAGTTCATAGTTCATAGTGATTTTGATGGTTGTTTTGGCTGGCAGTACATAAGTGGCATGTGGGCCACACATATTTTTAGCTTTTTGCCATGTCATTTTTATTGAATATTTGGACTTGTAAATGATCTCAAATGGAAATAATTTCAACTAAAAGGTTTTGACTTCATTGAGCACTACAAATTTGTGAAGTTATAAATCACATTGAAATCTACAACTTTTGTATATATTATGCTAACACCAGAAGTTGTTTGAAAAAAAATCAAAAAAAAAATTAATTTTTGAGAACTTAATACAAATATTTGGGACTCTAAACCACTCTAGATAAAAAATATTACCAACTAAAAAGTTGTAGAACATATTGAGAGCTACAATTATAGTACAGACCATGTCAACATTAGAGGACATTTGGAAAGCTCAAGGAAATTGAATTTCAAAATTTGAGAATTTAAAACTAACATTTGGGCCTCTATGCTGCTTCAGATAAAAATATTGTCAACTGAAAGTGCAATCAAGTTCTAATTGTGGGTTTTGATGATAATGACTACACAATTAGAGAACTAATGAGATTTATCGAGATGGCAAGCAGGGAATTCATGTTCGAGGATGCTACACGAAACGGAGGAGCCCCAATTACAAATGTAGATGGCTTCAAACTCAAAGGAGCTTTAAATTCTTTTATATTTTGAATTTGAGTATAGAAAAAGCCGTACTATAAAGGGGGACACAATGCTTAAGCTAATATGTGCTACCAGTACTCAAACATACACATGCATCATCAGATTCATAGCCAAGACAGTCTATACTTCACTGTTTACCCTTGCTGTCCTGCGTGGTGCGGCACCGCCGCACTTGAAGAGAGGCACTGCCATACTTAAGTCACGGCAGTGGGGCTGAGGGAGTATTTATACCCATCCTCTTCCTCCCCAACGTCTCTCTTCTTCCTCGTGCTCATTCCAGCACGCCTAAACAGAAAAGGAGCTCTCTCTCTCCATTGTTGACCTTAGGCTCTCAAACAAATCCATTGATTTCCCCATCAATTCTTGAGAGAAAAGGGTCTAAAACTCGATTAGAGAGCAGCTCCATTAATTCCCCAACTCAAAAGAGCACTTGGTTCACGTTTTGGCCGGCGGTTGTGTTTGTTACTCTTGGAGCTTGACTCCTAGCCGGCTAGAGCGTCACCGTGGAGTTTGCCAACTTGTGTGGTAGCCCCGAGAGGTTTGTAACCATCTCTTGAAGCTAGTATACTAACCCCTCATCTCAAGAGTTAAGTCTCTTGATTTGAGAACGAGGAAGGGTTGGAAAGCCCTAAGCCTTAGTGGCTAACCTCAACAACGTGGAGATAGGAAAGCCTTGGTGGCGAGCCGAACCACGAGATAAATCATTATGTCACTTGTACTTAATTTACATTACTTGCATTTCATATTGTTGGTTGAGGTGATTTTTAGGATTTCTAGTCGATCTACTTGTGTGCGGTGTTCCTACTTATTCTAGCTCTTGATCTGTGACTATAATACTTGCAGTAATCTGAGAAATTTCTCCGATCTAAGTTTCCATCCACTGATTTTGAACTGTGACTTGAAGTTGTCTGCAGGTGCGGCAGTGCCGCTGTTCTAGTCCTGTAGTGTCGCAGGGTGAATTTGATAAAAGTTTGAGCATTTGTTTTGACGGACGTATTCACCCCTCTAAGCCAACCAAAGATCCTACATCAATTATAAAGTTGTACAATATATTGAGAGGTACAATTTTGGCGTAGACCACATCAAGATCCGAGGTTGTCCAAAAAATTTTAAAAAAAACAAATACAGAACTTAAAACGAATATTTGGGCCTTTACTGGGAACTACAATTTTGATGCAAACTAAATTGAAATTTAAAATCTAGTAACTTAAAATAAATATTTGGGACTCTAAAAATATCTTAAATAAAAAATTTATCAAGTGCTGAGGTCTACAATTATTTATGATATGAAGTTTGTATGCATATGATTTCATATGAAAATTTTATGTTTTTCGATGTTGAAATAGTGTCCAACTGGCAGGTGGGCTCTACTGCCATGTTAGTAAAATTTTTAAATCACCCAAGAAACCATTTTGAAATGATCATGAAGATATTTTGTTTGGTTCGTGGAAGTTTTTTTTTCAGATTCAGCGATTAATTTAGGGTGAATCGGAGTTTACTATAAGGCTCCATTTGGATGTCTGCATTGAATTGTGTATATGGAATTCGAGGGCCAATACCAAAGCTAGCTGAATTGGAAATGATGTGTAATTCCAATATGGATGTTTGGATGGCACTTGAAATTGCTTGCTAGAATCTAAACAGCCTCCAAATTCCAATTCCTATTTGGATGCATACTTTTGATGAATTCGTGTTTTTCTGAGTTTGAACATGAGAATATGTGCATCATATAGGTTGCTTATACTTTCATGAATATTTATTTTAATTGGTTAATAGAAAATATGAAATTAACAATAAGGCTCCAAAAGTGCTTTGAAAATTCGATCACCACGATTCATCATACCATATGCTCGCAGATAATCATCATGTCCCAAATCTGGTATTTTGTCAAGTGCCTCAAGGATCTCACGTGGAGAAGTAGCCTTTGGTAGTTCCACAGGTTCAGTTGACTTCATAGCAGAATCAAATGATGCTTTAATGTCTCTAAGCAAAGACACAAGGGTTTCACCTGTTCTAGGTCTCTTTCCCAATTGAGATGGCACTGTCGGAGATTCTGGAGAGCCCTCATTGGAGTTCTGGTCAGTGCCATTTGCCATCTCCTGAGCACTTTCAACACCTGTCCTAGCAGCTTGACTAGTGGCATGATCTTTGGAGTAGATGGTGCTGATCGCATCCTAGTTCTTGACAACTTTGGTCTCGTAACAAGCAGTAGATTTATTAGCCTGTAAAATAGAGACAAAAGTATATATATGAAATGCAAGATAGTTCAGATTATCATGTAATACAATTCAGGTTATCATGCTGCATACCTCCACATATTTACTCCAAACATCGTCACTATCAATTGAGAGCCTGTGATTTTCCCAATCCCAGCCAAACCCACTTTGAGCAAGTATCTTGCTAATAACTTCATAATGTTTGTCAAAGGTTTTGCATCTTAAAGTAATGTTCTCCTTTGTGATATCCACATTGCACTTCTCTCGAACATTTCTGATTGCCGCACTGTACACATGTGGCTTCCATCCATTTTGGGCATGATCGCCATTGTTGTGATGCTCAACAAGAATGTCTAGGAGTGCACTATCCATTTCTTCTGTCCAAGTGAGGTAAGTCCTATGACCTTTCTTTGTTTTGGGTTCAGTCATGGTGCTAGAATGGTATATATCAGAAAGGTAGAAATTAGGCAATAATTTAACAGACATAAATAGTTGAGAACGATAAAGGTACTATTATATATTAATTTTGACACTTGAGTGGATGCACGCACAACAAAACACAGCAACCATTCATCCCAAAAGCGTATATCCCATCTACCTATCACACAAAAAACCCATAAAGCCCCATCTACCTACATACATAATACCCCATCTCACTACATACAAAATGCACACAGGGCAGCCATTAACCAAGCCTCGCTTGGTAATCGGCGAACATATCATTAGCTAGTTGGTCCCTAAAGTTGTTCCACTCGATTAAGTAACTCGGACATTTCTAATTAAATTAGTATCATTTAGGATATCAATCGGTGTCATAGCTATCTCATTATCCACTTCCCCGCAGTAGCATATCATCCATCTCATGTTTGTCTATCTCTTGCAAAGTTGTGCAACACACAACAAGCAATGATAATGCGAATCTGTCCAAAAATACAATGCGGTGTCAAAGGAAGCAAACAATGTTATAGTCAACTATAATAGGCCGTATGTACAGGACAGTACCTGGTCCTCTATTTAAAAAAAAGATTGATTACCCAAGATACCCCATTTCTTTTTCCATAAACCAAAGGTTCTCTCTACCACATTTCTAGCCCGAGAATGTCTCAAGTTAAACAATTCTTTTGGAGTTTTGGGCTGTTGTTGACTTGCAGCCCACTCTTTCAAGTGATAGCGAGTCGATCGATATGGAGCTAGAAATCCAGGACCATTAGTGTAACCGGCATCAACTAGGTAATACTTGCCTATCATAAAGGAAGAGAGTTAGCTAAAAATAAACAAGTAAATTATACACTAAACAAACAACCAAGCTGAAGGAGTCGTACCCTTGGGTACAACAAAAGCATCTTGGCGAGACATGGCATCACGCAAAACCCTTGAATCAGAAGATGAACCCTCCCATCCAGGTAGAACATACACAAATTTCATGTTCTGGTCACAAGCACCTAGCATGTTAGTTGTGATTTGTTGCTTCCTATTTCTGTACCTTCCTTGAGCAGCAACATCAACGCATACATCAACGTGGCACCCATCTAATGCTCCAAGTGCGTGCTCAAACCACTTCCACTTGTAATCTTCAGGGGTTGGACTGAAGGATCAGGAAGTTTGATGATCTCCCCAGATAATGAGATAATGGCAGATAAGACAGCAGAAAATAGCCTACTAATTGTTTCAAGAGACTGCTTATATGTTCCATGAAGCAGAAAATAGCCTACTAATTATTTCAAGAGACTGCTTATATGTTCCATGAAGCACCCTCATTTTTGTACCATGACCAAGAACAAGCAATAACATAGCAACCTTTTCTTCAACATCAGCAAACACACTACCACGAAGCCCACACCTTTCCCGCAACATGTTGCACAAGTCATGGAAGTTCCTCTTAGTTAAACGTAGCTCGTCATAGTACGTAACTTCAGAACCCTCATATAAGTTTTTCAGCAAATACTTTCTAAATGTCTGCATGTGCTCCTCATCACTAAACGCACCAAGGTCCCTTGGCCTCCTCTCCTTATGGACATAATCTACCACCACAACTACCATTGCAAGATATAGTTTTGCAAGTAACAACCTTCGCTTCTTTCTCCTTTTATTTTCTGCACTTATGCATGAGACCAAATCTAATGGCCATTTCGACATGGACCAGCTACACAGAATTTTAAAAAGAACATACAATGGAATAAATCAGCGCTGACAATAAACATGGGTAACTATTCTTGTATGCCACACAAACTATTGTTGTATTAAAAACAATCCAGAGCCTATTGACATTGTACAGCCAAAAAGAGAACACATTACCAAAAATTAGATATGTTAACTTTACCTTCGCTTGATTGATTACTGTAGAATGCTACTCCCCCTGCGATTCACCTACAGAATCAGAGAAAGGATCAGCAAGTTTGACCTTGCTCATGTTCTACGGTTAATTAAAATAGGGAGAACCACCATGGGAGGGAGAAAAGGGAAATCCATGATAGGAAGAGGGGAAGGGAGAAGCCATGGGAGAGGGGTAGTGGATGGAAATATGGGATGTGCTTGCTGTACAGGAGGGGGCGCCATGGGAGGGGAGAGAACGCAAAGGGAGGGGGAAGAAAGGAGTGGACATGCTGCATAGGAGGGGGCACCATAGGAGAGAGGTAGGGAGGGAAGGGGACGCAACCATGGGAGGAGGCGGATGGGGTGGGATTTTCAGCAGAGGAAGGGCCTCCATTGGAGGGAGAGGAAGGGGGCGCCATGGGAGGGATTGAGAGGAAGGAGAGATTCCCTACCAATCGACAATATAAGATTGGATCAGGCACGAAGTAGATGGTGGAGTTACCTTCGCCGCCGTCGAGGTCCCTCTAACGACCCGTCGCAGTCTCCGATGGTCGGTGGTTGCTCAAGAAGGAGCTCACCCAGCGCGGGCGGGTGGAGAAAAAGGAGGGGAAAGGAGCGAAGGGATAAGTAGGCGCACGGGCGGGGGCGATTTCAGTCAAAACCGACGGCGGGAGCTCGATATTGATTGCGGGCTGGGATAAGTGAGCGCGCGGATCTCTTTGAATTGGGACAGGTTTCCAAACCGTAATTCCGTGGACATCCAAACACATGGCATTCGGCTGGCACAATACCAATTCCTGAATTTTATGGCTAATTCATACATCCAAACGAGGTGTAAAAGAATAGAGCAAATAATATTATTCTAATTTGTAGCCGACGCTACCAACATGATCTGATGCCATAATTGCGGTAGTTAATTAAACTTTCGTGCTCCAAATTTAGAGGGGCGTCAGTGATGGCTAACGACACCTTAGAAAATGATTAAAGAGCAGAGGGATAAATTAAATGCAGTCATTATCCATAAGCATCTGTGTAAGCATCCCCTCGCCTAACCCAAAAAGCATCTCTGCGAGTAGGTGGTGGATGAGCTGTATCATCCGCCGGATTTACAAGTGTTTGCCAAGCATCAATCCCTCCTTGCCCTAATTTAGGAACCGACATGACAAGACGAGCAGTTTTCATCCATGCCATTTGTATCAGAGTTGCCTACCGATCCTTGTTTTTTTCCGGAAAAGAAAAAAATGGAAAAACAAGTAGCAAAAAAAAACCACTAAGCACTCGCCTGCCACGTCAGCAGGGTCCTGCCCGGCCGGCCGTCGTGGCGTGCGCCACCAAGCATCCCGCGCGCGCCAAACCCGGGTTCGACTCGACACCACCATCCGCGAAGATTCCATTCCCTTCCGCTTCCGCACGCGAGGAAAAAACGAAAAAAGAAATCCCGCGCACGGGCGCGGCGGCCCCAGCTGCAGCCTGCAGCCGCCCGAGCGGGCCGAAGCCGCCACGGCGCAAGCGGCCAAAGCCACAAGCCCCGCCACCGCGTCCCTCCACCACCACCGGCACGGCAAGGACGGCACGCTGACGCCGGGACCCGGCCGCGGCGCGGCGGAGTCGCCGTCGCCGTCGCCGCAGCTGCCACCCACCTGCGCGCAGTAACTCGCGTAGTCGCGCGCACACACACGCGTACACTCCTACTCCTACCCTACATGACACATTGACGCTGCCCTCTCCACCACTTGCGCACCATTTTTTATAAGGACAAAAAAAGAAAGAAATCCGAAAATATCTCCCCCATTCGTCTCTTTCCTGTCTCCTTCACCTAAAGGCTAAAGCGAGGCGCCGTCGGCTTCGCCTCCTACCTCGCGCCTTCCTCGCGCGGCGCGCCTGGCCTCGCCCTCTCCTCTCCCTCCCCTCCCCTCCCTTCCTATACCTCCACCTCGAGCTCGGCGGCGGAACTCTACCCGACGAGCTCGCGGAGGTGGTGCCCCCGGGTGGGCTAGGCGACAGCCAGCGGCGCGATGCCCGCGTGGTGGTCCCGCAGCAAGCTGAGGTCTAGGTCGAAGGCCAAGCCGGGGGGCGCCGGGTCCGTCTCCGCAGCGTCGTCCCCGCGCAAGTCCGCGGACTTCGAGTCGCCCTCCCCGTCCCCGTCGCCGACGCAGCGGGACAGGAAGGCGCACAGCCTCGACTTCCCCGGCGCGGGCGCGCACCCCGCGCGCGGCCGGTGCGCCGGCGGCGCCGCGGCGGGGCATGGGTCGGTAGGGTACAAGCTCCCGATGCCCGTCGAGGCGGCGGAGCCTGTCGGGACTCTGTACGAGGAGGTGCTGGCGGCGGCGGCGGTCGCTGCCGGTGACGGCTGCTCGTCCGCGGAGGAGTCCAGCGTGTGCTCGGCCGGGTCGTTGGACGAGGCGCACTATCAACATGGGTTTAGGTGAGTGACTCATCGCAGAATGGTTGGTGCCTTTATATGGCTCGATCAATTCCGAATTTGCCGCAGCCTGGTTGTCACTAGAATTTCCCAATTTGGGCTGCAGTAATTCCAATTCAATTGCCTGGTGCTCTGATCAAATTGGGGGAGTTGAGTGCCTAGATATGTCGATCTGCAGGCTTGCTTTATTGTCTTCCCCTCAATTTGGCGTGCAACGTATTTGAGGGGGTTTGAGTCAAGGGTAAGAGTTAGAGTGTACTGTGAGGATTCACACCAACTGCACCAGTTGACCTTTTCTAGGTCGTTCCAGTTCGACAATCCTGACCATCTCTCCCTCTCCATCTCTCTCTGGTAAACATAGATTGAGGACTGGATAGATCAGGGTACCAAGGCGTGTTAATTAATTGTTGACAAATATATTTTTTTGAAAGTAAATGTTGACAAATATAATAAATGTAAAATTACAGTAATAACGAGTGAACAGCCATGTCTTTGCTGCTTCATCTGTTCGAAACTAGAGCTATCAACCTTTAAGTACATGTTAAGGTTTTTTTGGATGATTCTTTGTTTATCCTTGCAAGTTATAATGCACATGGGTTAGTTTGTCTCTTTTTCTTTTGCACTCAGATATGTCATTTTGGGGATTTCTCCACTATACCTGTTTAAATAAGTACAATATTTAGAAGCCTTGCATTGCCATGTTGATATGTTCTCTGATGTTTACTGCTTGCTTTGTAATTTCTAGGCCCATGGATCCAGTTGCTTTTGCGAGGGAAAGAAATATGCCTTCTGATTCAGATAGGACCGTAAATGAAGACAAGCGTTTCATGTCTTGTAGTATGCCACGGGAGCATCAGAGGTTCTTTGAGGTTCCTGTGTCTAGTGTTAGAGAACTTCATTTTCAAAGTGATGAACCTTCAACTAGTGAAGCCAATTGTTCACGTGGAAGAATGATACCTGAAGATCTCTTTGCTCCAAGAACGAGGAGTCTCTCTCCTGTCCCAAAAGGCCATGCATTCGCTGTGAGCAATGGAAACTCTAGAGAATTTGGTTTTAGCCCAAGGTCACCAGTAAGAAAGATGGATGGTTTGAGGAGCCCACCACATCCCTTACCTCTTCCTCCAGCTTCTGCTGCTTGCTCTCCTCTTCTTCCAGCTTCTGCTGCTTGCTCACCTCTTCACCCAGCTTCTGGTGCATGCTCGCCTCTTCATCCAGCTTCTGGTGCTTGCTCACCTCTTCCTCCAACCCACAGTCCTTGCTCACCTCTTCCTTCATCTCCCAGTTCCTGCCCACCTCTTCCTGCTTCTCCCACTACCTGCTCACAGTCCCAGTCGCAATGGAAGAAAGGGAAATTGCTAGGGAGTGGTACATTTGGCCAGGTTTACCTTGGATTTAACAGGTATCACATTTTTGCCCCCTTTTTTACATCACAGAAACTTTGTGATATCTAGTGAAAGTTAATGCATTAGAATTGCATCTCATACTACAGTTATTCATTAGAGATATGGCAGTGGAAACAAACTGACATATTCAATTGTATTAAAAAAATTATCCTTAGTTTGTGATTGTTCAACAATGCAGTGAAAATGGGCAGTTTTGTGCGATTAAGGAGGTTCAAGTTATTATGGACGATCCACACTCAAAGGAACGACTCAAACAATTAAATCAGGTACTTGCTGCTGCTGTCTTACCTAATTGGCTTGGTTTGCCATGTCATGAATAGCAAAGTATTTTTTATCTCTTGTTTCATTGACTGATCCACATGATTAATTTTGGTATTGACAGGAAATAGATATGCTTAGACAACTCTCCCACCCAAACATAGTGCAGTATCATGGAAGTGAGCTGGTAAGTTCTATTTCATAAACCATTTCAGTTATCTCTGCAGCATAACTATTTAGTATTTTCTGAATTATTTTCTTTTGTTGCTGTTTGATTGTTTGTTGTTGCTGTCGTTGTTTTGACTTATTTGCATTTCGTTCTATGTTCTACTGTTTGTCCATCTCAGGGGTTAATTTTGTGGTTCTAGTATCATAGTGCTCAGTGTTCATCAGCTTTTATTGGTGTTGTATTACAGCATCCTTGGCCATGCTTACACTTTCTCATTGTACATGTTTCTGTACGCAGAGTGATGAAGCACTTTCCATTTATCTTGAGTATGTTTCGGGGGGTTCAATCCACAAATTACTAGGAGAATATGGCCCTTTTAAGGAACCTGTGATTCGTAATTACACTGGGCAAATTCTTGCTGGTCTTGCCTACTTGCATGGGCGGAACACTGTCCACAGGTTGTTTTGTTGTCTAAAACTGTGTTCTCATTCCATAGGTATAGTCATATGGCACAGAATGCAATAATCATGTCATTCTTATTTTCTTGGCAGAGATATCAAAGGAGCAAACATACTTGTGGGTCCTAATGGTGAAGTCAAGCTTGCTGACTTTGGCATGGCTAAGCATGTATGCAGTGTTTACTTTCTGACCCTCTCTCTCTGTGTCTAACACTTTCAGTTATCATAATATTTAGTATTTTCTGGACTTATAAAGTCAACTACTGATTTTATCTGAGTGCTCTCCATTTTGTACAACACACGGTAGTCTTTTTTTGCCTGTGCACCCACGGTACAGTTTCAAATTGCAATTGAAGTAGTTCAAGAAATTGCAGTTGAAATAAATATTACTCAATTGCATTAGCATCCATGTTTTCTAATAGAAAGGGAATTAAAGTAGGTGCAAACTTTGATTTAATCAAGTATCCAGTTATCTGCCTAGTGCCTACTCACATAAATGTGGAAAAGGAAAGTTGTGGAAGAGTGTCAATGGTCTGTTTCCCTTCTGTGCATGCCCAGCTAAAGGATTCTCAACAGTGAACAAGTTTTTGAATCTTTGATGGTCACCAAAACAAGGATACACACTGATTGTCCTTGCTTTTGATTTTCCTCTGTAAACCCATTCATTTTTTTTTACTTTGTTGAACAGATATCATCTTTTGCTGAAATACGCTCTTTCAAAGGAAGTCCTTACTGGATGGCTCCTGAGGTGAGCTATTTTAATACTGAACTTCATTGATTGTTTGTTGTAATCTGCTATGCGTCTTTGAACAAAGTTCTCCCATCATTGGGAAACCTTCAGGTTATAATGAACAGTAAAGGCTATGGTTTATCAGTGGACATTTGGAGTCTGGGCTGTACCATTATTGAAATGGCGACGGCAAGACCTCCTTGGCACCAATATGAGGGGGTAGGCTTTCACTTAGAAGTTGTGAATTTTCATGATTTCCATGTAACCGCGATGAATAACACTGAGCCAATGTCATCTAATCTTATCTTGCAGGTAGCAGCAATATTTAAAATTGCAAACAGTAAAGATATACCTGAAATACCAGACAGTTTCTCAGAGGAAGGGAAAAGTTTTTTGCAGCTTTGCTTGAAACGTAACCCTGCATCTCGTCCCTCTGCAGTCCAGCTGATGGATCATCCTTTTGTTCAGGATCATCCTGCAGTGAGAGCTGCAAAATCCAGTGTATTGAGAAACACGTTGTCTTCTCCAGCAGATGGTAGACACACATTGGTATTGTTTCTAGTTAAGCAATCTCAGTTTTTTATCGTTCTATTTTCCTATCTACTTTCCAAGTGCAATTAAGAAAACTAGAACATCTTGTAGTGGATCGCTGATTTGAGAACAACCTTTGGGCGAGCTATTTGATCTTGTTTGAACCAATTATGGCACATTTACCAGTACCTTTTATTTTTGGGGGTGGGGGGCTAACCTATCGTACTACCTTGACAATGTCAATAAGTGTTACTTTATTTAATTATAAAGTTCAGTGTAGTATTGTTGCTTTACAAGGGGGACAAAAATGGTATCATATTTCTTTCGCAGGATATGTCCTCCTAAATGCTCACACTCCTTATCCTTGATCTTGTTGCAGTCCAACAGGGAGTTGCCATCTCGGAAGATTATTACTCCTCTGAAGGATGTTGGACTGAGCATGAGAGATTTTACTGGATTTTCCACTGCTGTTCCTTCACCACACAGGTACTCTACTACCATCCTTACCTTGTACCGATTCCCACAATTTTGACTGAAAATGTTTGTGGTACAGCAGCCCTATTCCTGGGAGAGCAAATATGTCTACGCCAGTTTCACCATGCTCAAGCCCGCTGCGGCAGTTTAAGCAATCCAACGTGAGGTGCATGCGTTCTCCACCTCATCCAATGCTCTCCCCTGGTCTTGGCAACACATTAAGTTACACGCAAAATCAGACAAGACGCATTCCAGCTCCTGCCATTTCAGATCCTTGGCTGGATGTTGGCCAGATGAAGCTCCAAAGCCCCAATATTTCCCCCAAAAGGTTCTGAGGACGATTTATGAAAAAGAGAACCAAGAGCGTGGTATCTCCATGACAAGGTAGTTATTCAGAGATGCAGGAAGCAACTTGTTTGTATAGTTATTACTACGATACGACACTTACCGGAGGTTCAGTACAGCGAAATGGGGCTCTTGAGAAATTGTAACAGGAAGTTCTGTATATTCGTAGGCTTTAAGGTTTGTTGTCGTTCTTGCTATACATAGTTATACGTACATATACGTCCTGATGTAAATCCTCACAAAATCTTACAGATGACTACGGGATGTAAATTCGTAAGCTTGTGTAAGCTGATATTTCTGTGAAGTAGCAATAGTTAGGACTTCCATGGCAGATGTGACCATGTCTTTTCGAATTAATCTGAGGAATGTACACGTACATTTCATTTCCAATCTCTTGATTCAAGCAGGTAATTTTTTGAATAAAAAAACTTATAGAGAGCGGGGTGTAGATTATATTTTTTCATCGAAAAGCTATAACTTGGACCAGTGTAAAGAACTAATCTATCCGGTTGCTCGTTTTTAATGGCAAAGCTATATATATATATATATATATATATATATATATATATATAAAAAATTGCTTGCGACTTTGTCTATACAAAAGGTTTAAAAACAGGAGAAAACTAAATTAATCAGCAGGACCAAATTTGTCTATGTGACTGTCATTCGAAAGGTTCAAATGGAGGATTAAATTTGTCTATTCAAAAGATTTAAAAACAGGACAAAATTAAATTAATCAGCAGGACCAAATTTGTCTATTAAAAAAGGGTTTAAAAACGGAATAAAATCAAAGAAGGGTTTAAAAACAGAATAAAATCAAAAAATGGTTTAAAAACAGGACAAAATTAAATTAATCAGCAGGACCAAATTTGTCTATTAAAAAAGGGTTTTAAAACGGAATATACTAAAAAAGGTTTAAGAACAGAATAAAATTCAAAAAAAAGTGTTTTAAAACGGAATAAAATAAAAAAGGGTTTAAAAGCAGAATAAAATTCAAAAAAATTACGGTGAGCGTGGATCGAACAAGCGACCTTCAGATCTTCAGTCTGATGCTCTCCCAACCTGCTTTGTGCAGCTGTTGCAAATTTCCTCTAATTACCTTCAAATTTCCAGACTTGGAGCCACGAAATAACCATAGCTATGGTGTCCAGCCTTGCACAAGACCTGTCTGCAAGCCGTGAAATTAGCAGACAGTCTTGATGTAACTTGGGGCCATGAAATAACCATATAGCTATGGTGTCGCCTTGCACAAGTCATGAGACCTGGCTGCAAGCCGTGAAATTAGCGGAGGTTCTTGACGCAGCTTACAAAGAAGTAGCCATGAAATTAATTAGCGGACGTTCTTGAAGCAGAAACTTACAGCTTGAAGCCAAGAACATCTAGCATTAACACCTAAACTAAGCGCTTGTTTCACATGGACTTGAAGAGTTTGAGCAGCGACCTCGCCCTGGTCTTGGCCCTGGTGCCGCACTGGCTCTGCAGCAGCAGCAGCACCTGCGTGACCACCCCCGCGCCGGCAGCGTCGCTCCGTGCCGCCCTGGACTCCCTGCACACGGCCAGTAGCGCCGCCACCGCGTGCTCGCTTCCCTCGTTGCTCGACGACATCAAGAACACGTGCCTCACCAGCGCGCGCACCGCGCCGGGCTCGCGCGCCACCGCCCGGAGCCCGGCCTCCGACGCGGCAAGCGCCTCGAGCGCCGCGAGCGCGCTCCACGCCGCGGCGCCACCACGCGCCTTGCCCGCCGACGCCCACGACAGGCAGCCGAGGAGCGCGGGCACCGCGCCGTGGTGGACGGCGCTGCCGCGCGCCGGCTCGGCGCCGCAGCAGATCGCGGCGACGGCGCGCACCGCGGCGCCCGAGACGCGCTCGTCGCCGTGCCGCAGCAGCGGCAGCAGCGAGTGCCACACGCGCGGCGAGGCGGCGGCGGCGAGCGCCAGGTCCCGCGTCGCGGCGGCCGTGGCGATCGTCTCCAGGAGGCGGCACAGGCCCGACTTGGCCACGGCGCGGCCGCGCGCGGCCAGGAGCCCCACGAAGGACGTAAGGCTGGCCTCCGTCTTGAGCATGTTGAGGCAGCCGTGCTGCGGCGAGGCCGGGCTCGATGGCAGCAGGGTGAGCGCGCACTGCAGCGCCAGGTCCTCCTGCTCGGACAGGTCCCGCGGCGTGGGCGCGTGGAAGACGAGCTGCAGAAGCACGGGGAGGAAGCCCAGCTGGAGCATGCACGCGCGGCCGACGTCCGACTCGGAGGCCAGCGCCAGGACCTTCCTGAGAGCGGCCACCTTGGCGCTGGCGCTGGCGCCGGCGCCGGACTGGAGGCAGCGCTTGAGCACGGCGAGCGACGGCTCCTCCGCGTCGTCGTCGTCGGTAGCGTCGGGGATCTGGTGGTGGTCGGCGGACAGCCAGCGCTCGATGAGGTGGCGCAGGGTGCGGTTGGGCACAAGCGCGGCGTCGCCGAGCGGCTGCATTGTGACCGGGCACGTGCGGTTGCCGGCGGCGAGCCAGCGCTCGATGCAGGGGCGGTCGTACGTCTGCCCCGTGCACAGCGTCACCGGGTCCGTGAAGATGTCCAGGCTGATGGGGCACCGGAACAGGTGCGGGATGCTCATCTTGCGTCTTGCGTGCGCGCACCACCACCAGTCCACCACGGACCGGATCAACAAGACGCAATAATAAAGAAACGCCCAGGGATCATGCTCCGCTGCCGCGGCACAGGCCCGCGATCCAAGAAGGCAACAAGATCCAGATCAGGAGCCAACACCACCAGCAGCTGAAAACGCCAACAACTCACAAACAGGGCAGGGCGGCGAGGCGAGAATGCAGCGGCGCGCGGTACCAGAAAAGCTCTTGATGGTATTGCCGCGATCACTCACTCCCATGCATGATGCATCCCCCCATCAAGAATCCATGGCGACGCGACGACGGCGACGTAACAACAGGTGACGAAACTGCGCAGGTGACTGCAGCAGAGTTACTGCACTGTGGTTAGCCGCTGTGGCTGTGAGTACTCGAAGTTGCTGCAGGTGAGGTGATGGCCATAAAGCCGGCCAAAACAACAGGAGCTGCCGCAGGCCTGCACTGCACTGCACACACCACACAAGATGGAGGCAGGCTACAGTGCTGGAAATGTATGGGCTCTCCTCAATCGAAGAAGAGATGGAGAGAGGGAATGGAATGGCGGGATGGGAGGAGCGAGGAACTGGGAGGGGCAAGTGAGAGGGGCCGGGGGCGTGTGCTTTGCTTCATGCATCGAGAGCATCATGGTTGCAGGAAGAAGATAAAGGCAAAGGCCGAGCCGAGCGGGCGGTCATCGAAAGGGAAAGGTCTAGTGATTGGACCGGAACAGGAGCAGGAAGAGGAGCCAGCCGAGCTGGGCGGGGAAAAGTTTGCGGCCTGAAAACGTGGGGACAGTCAGAGTTGGGGACCGGTTGGGACGCAATTCTCACAGATTGGATTTGGAACGCAATTTGCAGTGTTCATTAAGGGAGGCTCTCCCTTTTCCCAGAGCAGGTTTACAAAATCGTAAGGACTTGATTGAATTATGATCTGCCAACTTGCCGGCGTCAGATGGTATAGAAATGACTGACACAATGAATGAATCGACAAAAAAAAAAGGATATGACTTTGGGCTAGGTGTTGATCACGATCCGAATTCTATGTAAGTTATTATGAAAAGGGAAGGTTTGTTGATGCAGAGCGTGATCATGTGGTTGTAGGTAGTATTTGAGTTGCATGCATCAATTATAAGATCATCCAAAAGTCAGGAAATGTGGACAGTATTTTTCTGCAAGGTTTTCCATATGTAATAAACGATGGACAATTAATTAATTTGCTCCATCGGTTTCAAATTATAGTTTACTTTAGTTTTGTGTTTAGCAGAAAATTCATTGATTTTAAATAAAATTTTAGGAAAAATGTATCTACCTCTATAGGTTTGAATAAACACATTATCAGAGTACATTTCATGAAGAATTTTATAAAGCAAATTTCGTATTGGAAATGTTGATAGATTTTTGCATTAAGTTGGCCAAAGTTAAAGAAATTCGACCTCACATAAAGCTAAAATAATTAACATAATTGGAGCTGGCAGAGTTTTAGCTTGTACTTCAAACTAAGGTGAACTTTATTGTTTTTGTTTGTCCAATTCTAACGCCAGAAATTGGCAAGTGTCTCTACACAATAAATACTACTTCATCCGTTTTAAATTAGAAGTAATTTTTGTTTTTCTAGTCTAGGAACATAATAATATTTGGTATGCATCTAGAATGTACCCCACCTCCCAATCATTTCAAATTATAAGACATTTTGACTTTTCTAGATATAATGTTTTTACTATGTATCTAAATATAGTGTAAATATCTAGGTGCATAATAAAAACTATATTGTCGGTGTGAAATGTGGCCAACGAGTAAATATTTATAGTTTTGCCGTGCGTTGTGATCGGATGTGGCATAACACTTAATCACACAGGATTTATACTGGTTCAGACAACAGGCCCTACGTCCATTTGTGGTCGGTGACTTTATTCCTGAGCCCAGGTGCTCGAAGTTTGTTGTGGGGTTACAAACGAGTAAGGAATGAGAGGGGGGTGTTAGAGGCCCGATCGGACTCTAAGCCGAGTGGCAGAGAGTGACAAATGCTCAAACGTGCACTAAGTATTGGAGCGTATGCTCTGTGTGTCCGAGCTTATCAGCTGTTGAGAGCGTGTAGACTGTGTAGCTGTCGAGCTCTAGAGCCATTGTGTTGTTGTCCTTGAGTTCTCGAGTCTTTCGAGTCTTCGGGTCTTCGGGGCTTTGAGGGGTTAGAAGCTCATGCCCTTTTAGGTAGGAGAGAGCGCATCCCCTTTTATAGTTGAAGGGGATGACCTTATAAGCTCTAGAGCCATTGTGCTGTTGTCCTTGAGTTCTCGAGTCTTTCGAGTCTTGAGGGTTTTGAGGGGTTCGAAGCTCCTGTCCTTTTGGTAGGAGAGAGCACATCCCCTTTTATAGTTGAAGGGGATGACCTTACAAGTCAGAGAGAAAGAGAGAGTTCATACGGGCGCTGCCTAGTCTTGTTGCCCACGTCATCGGGTACGGGATGGCCATCGGCTCCCATATCTTCACAAAACCAGTTTATGTTCGACGCATTTGGCGTGCTCTACCATGTTCGCTGGTACCACAAAACGACGCGCCCATAAATCATTTATGCTCTGACGCGTCTGGCAGGCTCTATCGTGTTCGCCTGACATGCCCCGATGGCACGGTCCTGCAGGTGCGCAGGGCATGGCAGGGTACGGTCTTCGGTATTGTGGTTGACTTGAGCGCCTTACCTTATCTGCTTCGCCTGCTCCCCCGGCCCACACCAAGCGGGCGTCCCTGGTCAGTCGTTCCCAGTCGGCCCCGACCGTGTCTGTCGGGAAAGAGCAACGAGCAGAGGTCTGGTGTATCCTCGGTCGGAGAAAGGGGGTCGGAGTCAGACTGCGGTCCCACCTCGCCTAGGCCTTCCGGTCGGGAACCGGATCGTTGTCTTGGCCTGTCATTATGTATCTGGGCCAGCCCAGACGCGTGCTGTTGCTGCACTGCCTGCCGGGCCGAGTTTTGCAGGGAAGCGGGGCCATTGAGGACCCCGGATTTATGAACCCGACTTATATATTTAGAAAAGTCAAAACGTTTTAAAATTTACAACAGAGGGAGCTCATATGCTATATCTAGATCAATTTAGAAGTGAGAGAGTGCTATGATTTAGAAGTGAGAGAGTGCTATGATTTTTGCGACAACGTCGACAGGAGGACGAGTGTGTTGCACACTGGCGCTAGTAATGTAGGTCACCGTGGACCGGTCTGCACTCTTATTAGGCACCACTTCATGTGTCATGATTATTCCATTTGCTAGCTGGGACAAGATCTGGAGAGAGAGGGTGAATGTGATGTTAACATGGGGCATGGGCAGAAAGCCATGACCTGACTGAAAAAAATTGAGTGCGTTGGAAGCGTTATGATGAAAACGCGAGCAATTCTTCAAGCACTTCCCCATCCCATTTTAAGGCTCGTTCGGCTGCTCACAAAACCAGCCGAATTTTACCGTGCGCTGCGAAAGTCTAACGAAATTCAGTTGCTCGCGTTTTACTGTGCGCTGCGAAAGTCTAACGAAAGCACTTCCCCATCCCATCTTCAAGGGTCCACTCTCTCACAGATTCCTCTATATTCATCCAGATTCCTCTAGATTCATCCAGATTCCTCCAAATTCCTTCTAGCGAACAGGGCCTTACCTTTTTCAACCCCAAAAAAACTTAACAATAAAAATAAAAAATTCTAACGAAATTCAGTTGCCACGTGTGACTTGTGGTTGCTCCACTTGTCAGTCAGCAGCCTGCCTTCTGCAGTTCTGCTACACGACAGAAACGGGCCGAGAATCTCTGTTACCGGCGGACCAAACCTCGCTACGTTACAAATCAGTATGATCTGTACAGTGAAAACTGGATAGGTAGCTGCGCCGGTTAATCGCCGTCTCGAGCACCCCACTGAAGATAAACAATGGGATTATGTAGTACAGTAGGCGCTAATGTGCACATTAACGCGGCGGCTATAGGGCACTGCGAAAGTCTTGCTGACACTGCTGCGCTTTGTGGCGCTGTAGCCACTGCAGGCAGCAGCATTACCCAAATCAAGGGACTCAGCTCCACTGTAGGGCTAGCCTAAGCCTAGGAATAGGATTCACACACTGACCATAGCATGTTTTGTTTGTTATATATATGATCATACTACATGGAGATGATGGCCAAAGCTATGTTGTATTAACTTTGGGTGATTAAAAAATGAGGAAAGGTTGCACGACCCTAATGATATATACAATGTTTTCCGACTGGCCCTCACATCATGTGGTAAACAAGAAGAAAATTTGAGCTTATTATTAGCATTTGCCAAATAGAAACAAAAAAGCTCGGGAGATGTTACGATCGAGTCAGCGGCCAGGGCAGCATGTCAATGTGGAGCACATTTTAACGGCCGATTACTACACGTACTACGACCCTTTTTATTTTGCGAAAGACGGCATGATGTATTATTGGCGTGCAATAATAGAGAGAGTTTTTGTGGACAATAACACTCCTCCTCGCTCTCGATCGAGCTGCCATGATGGATGGATGGATGCTTACCCGTCTGTGTCTGTTCAAACTGCAGTACTAAATGCGTCGTTACACACGGTTTACTTCAGGGTAGAAAGCAAGAAAAACCAAAGCTACTAATACTGTATATACGCGTCCAATTTTTCAGGCCACTGGCTTTTCCTCCACCGCAATCTTTTACCGCGCATGTCTTTTTCCTTTTCGTGTATTGGAAAATTAGGCAAAGCCACCAGCGCCGACGTTGACCGACTGGCTGTTTTTTTGGAACACACAGGGAGTTTTGTATGGTTCAGACCCAGAAATTACAGCCCAGACAGGCGCCGTTCCTGAAATAAAAGCAGTTTGATTTGATCAGGCGATTGGTAGTAACATATATTCCGTACTATATTAACGTGTAATTTTAAACGGAGTAGACTTACACTTGTCTGTAGCTTTGTCCGCATGCGTATATCTGTTCAAAGATTGGACCCTCGCGTGCTGTTAAATGGGCATTACTCTACTCGACTCCAATCCCAGCGTAGAGAATTGCCTAACAATTTTGACTTCAAATATATGTTTATCTGGTTCAATGTCCAGATTGGAAAACCACACTAAATTGTATTTATATTAGACCTTTCTCTAAAAAAAAAAAAAAAGCTCGCAACCTAAAACTACGTCCTAGCTATTAGCACTGTCATTATCTAAAAAGCTATTAGCACTGTCTAGAAGCCAGACAAGAGATTGTCCTATTTACCGTCTTCTGAACAATATATTTCCTTTTTCTAGAGAAGATGATGTCGTAAGTTATATATAATATAATAACAATAAAGACACAGTGAATTTTGTTATTCATCAATGACCTTTTTTCTTTCTTACGGTGGTTGTGGAAATAGCATGTAACTTGAGTTATTCAATCTGACCCAATCGTCAGTATTTGAACTTGCTAAGTACAAAATTTGCAGTTCATCCACCAGTCAGATGAACTTGTGTTCCCCTCTGTTGCGGTTTATGAATTTGCGTGGTTGACATGTGGAATCATAGCAAGTGTTCAACCTAGTACTGGTAAAACCTGGCCCCATTTTGTAGGTTTTTTCACTAGTCTATTTTGTCGGTTTGTTGATTTTTTCCGCGAGCGTGAACAAATCTGGCAACATGCAAAAAAGAGAAACTTATCCATGATAGAGACATTAATGAGGTAAAACCTACTTATCAAGCACAAGCAGGGAGTGCTATCGCTTTCGCTCGTGTTACTGGAAGCAGACCAAAAGGATAAAGAAAATAATGACGAATGAATTAAGTGCCGGCGAGCAAAGTGGTAGTTCAGCTTTGAACTAGGGTTGCTCTCCCCTCCCCGGCCGTTCCAAGTCAGATTCCATGGATGACATGAACCCAAGCACGGACTCTGTTCAAAGTTTGTGGTTACTTGCAAGCTGTAACTTTGGACTAGAAGCAGACAGATGCTGATGATGTTCTTGCAGAAATTGTGGATCAACTGAGTGCCTTGCAGCATGCTCGTTCTCTTTTTTTTTCCCCTTGTCGGTTGGAAGCGTTTTGATTCAGTGTACAATGTACATGCATGCATCATCACTAGAACATTCCGGTTCTGGAGAAGAATTTCCCTACGAGGAATCATCAACTGTTCTTTGAACAGCTCGAGCTGCACACGTGTGGAATATCTCTCAAGTCTGAACCACTCCATCTCCATGCTACGAGTAGTATATCTTTCAGCCGTGATGCATGTTGCGTTTCTTTAACCGATAAGGTTAGGCCATGAAGCAAGGCAAGGCAAGGAAAATGGATGAGACGTTGCACGTGCAGCGTTGAATGATTTCTTTGTAGTGCCGCCTTTGATCGATCCATCGACATGTCTTCTAGATGATCCAACAGCCTATTCTGATGAAGCGTCGCTTTCTGCTGCTGAGTTTTGTTGACCGGTGTCTTCGAGAGATGCCATATTGCCATTCATAGTGATAAGAAGCAGGCATGCCTTTCGTGATCCTACCTTTGTTGTCCAAAGACGAAAGCAGTGTCGTTTGGCTTGTGACTGATCTGAAGCTCGAGCCAGCTGCAGCCTGCTGTTTCGGCCTGATTTATCGGGCTGTCAATTTCAGGTTTTTCTTCCTCTTCAGTGTTACAATTTCAGATGGCGATTCTTCCATCTTGTAATGCCATCGTCGTACGCATCTGAATTTGCTACAAATTAAACGGTGCACGTTGTCCATAGAATTCAGAAAAGAAAAACGTCACAATCACAATTCAGAGGTGGAGAAGCAACGTGCAGTACAACTTCAGACCAAATAGCAAAAAAAAAATACTGATGATTTTCATATAGAAGAAAGGCAAAGGCAAACCAATACATGATTAGTAGCGCCATACATAGAAAGTGTCCTTAGGCTTGTGACTGATCTGAAGCTTGAAGGAGCTCCAGTTTCTGCCTGATTTCTGGGACTCTGTCAGTTCAGGCTTTCGTTTCTTTTGAGTGTTACAGTTTCAGATGACGATTCTGTCAAATCTTATAATGCCAGGATTATAGGCATCTGAAGTTCATAGAAAATAAATGGCATGGTTTCAATAAATAAAGTTCAGTAAACAAAACAATGAAAATTCAGAGGTGAATAAGCAACAGGCAAGAGAACAATGTCAGATCAAATTTACAGCAAAAACTACTGATGATTTTCATACAGGATATCCCTACTACAAACATTTGACAGATTTGCTATTCAATTGATTTTAAACTGAACATTCGCCAAAAGCAAAATACTCGATTAATTATGCATACATAAAATTCAGGCAACATGTTGATCTGCCTCAACCAAGATTGTCCTCTATTACAAAGTACTGAATGTGTTTAGAGGATGAAGGGCGACGCTCGCAGCAGCTGGTCCGGCTCCTCTGGTACGGGTGGTGGCGGCGGTGGCTCGGTGGAGACGTGCCTGAAACGGCGTCTGACACTAAAGGTGAGCTTGGGGTGTACTCCGGCGAAGAAGCACGCCGGAGAGGGCTGAGGGGAGCCAAGGGCGTGTACTCTGGGGTGGCCGGCGTGTACTCTGGGATGGCAGGCGTGTACTCTGGCGACGCGGCAAGCAGCGGGTACCCAGCAGACGATGGCGGCGAAGTATAGCAGAAGGCGTTGATGTCGTCAAAGAGCATGGCGTAGTCCGGTGAACAGAGGCCAGAAGGACTCCCGGGCGTGTAGTATGGGATGGGGGCGTCCTCCGGCGACGCGGCACGCAGTGAGTACCCAGCAGACGGCGGCGAAGTGTAGCAAAAGTCGTTGATGTCATCGAAGAGGGCGGAGTAGTCCGGTGAACAGCAGCCGGAAGGACTGGCGGGCGTGTACTCCGGCGACGCGGGCGCACGCGATGAGTAGCCCGTAGACGGCGAGATGCAGTAGCGATCAAAGTTGTTGAAGTAGTCCGATAAACAGCAGCCTGAAGGAGTCCGGGGCGTGTAGTTCGCGGTGGCCGGAGTGTAAGCTGGAGACCCGGATCGCTTCGGCGGCGTCAGGGGAGGGGTGGCCTGAGAGTAATCTCGCGATCCAGATCGCTGCGACGACGGCGTCAGGGGCGTGCACTCCGGGGTGGCAGGCGAGTAGACTGGCGACCCAGATAGCTGCGACGACGGCGTCAGGGGCGTGTACTCCGGGGTGGCTGGCGAGTAGAGTGATCCAGATCGCTGCAACGACGGCGTCAAGGGAGTATACTCTGGGGTGGCCGGTGAATAATCCAGCGATCCAGGTTGCTGCGACGACGGCGTTAGGGGCGTGTAATCTGGAGATCCAGATCGAGATCGCGGCGAGTCGAGCAGGACGACGTCCGCCGGAAGCAGAACTTCGGAGTCGAAGGCGACGCCCTCCAGCTCCACGAAGCGTTTCCCGCGCACAGTCACCAGGCGGAAGCCGAGCGACGTCCCCAAGTCGTAGGAGGAGAAGGCGCCGGAGGCGGCCGATTTGGAAGCGGAGGAGCCGAACGCCATCGCCATCTCGCGGAGCGCTCGAGAAGACGAGCGGGTTGAGGCGGTGGCGGCGGCTGTGGTGGATGGATCGCGGAGGAAGGATATAATGGGTTCGATCCCCGCGGGAGCAAGCGTCGTCTCCGGCTCCGACTCGAATTCCATCCCAGCTCGTCTCCGATTCATCGTCGCGGGGAAGCCAAGCAGCCTGTTTCGTTGTGCACTGCGCCGCCACCAGTCGGACTCGAAACCGCGTGGGCGGATCACCGGATCAGTTCCGTTCGAGCCTGTTCAGTTGTCGCGTGGGCCCGCCTAGCCAGTTGCCCACGTGTCCGTTCTCTCCGTGCCTTGCAACTCCCACTTCAGTTGCATTTCCGGTAATAAATATTTCCGGTAATATTTTGACAAAGTTATCATGAATTAAATTATTTTAAATTTAATCAAATTTATAAAAAAAGCATAAATATTTATGATTTAAACTAGTATCACTAGATACATCATAAAAATATATTTTCATAACCTACTATTTGATGTAATAAATATTGTTTTTCTTCACTATCAAGCTGGTTAAACTCTAAACAGTTTGATTTAGTCTGATTCTAGGAATTAATTTATTTTGAGATGGAGACATAAGGTGACTCTAAGAACTGATTTATTTTGGGATGAGAGAGTAGTTCGATTCCAAAAATAGCAAAAATAGAAACTAACGGCCACTGACTTAATGACTGCTTTACCCCATCCTAAAAAGAACAGAATTATAGTATAGCACCGAGTCAAATGATTTTGAATCTGGCAAATTTATACAAAAAAATATCAATGTTTTTTATTCCAAATAAGTGTCGTTGTATTCATCATGAAATATATTTTTATTATAAATATTAATGTGTTTATACATTTTGTCAAACTTTTAGTTTGACCAAGTATAGTAGTAAAATTACATCCTTATCAGGATGGAAGTAGTCCATCATATGAAAGCCCAAGTGAATATGTAATTCCTTAGAGGCTCCAATCCCCTCCTGATTCTTCATCTTCATAAAAAAATTATTTCCTTTCAATTTTTGTTTTTTTCATAAGTCTACATGTAATGCCAGTAATTCAATTCGTGTATTTGAACTTCTTACAAATAACTCTAGTAGCTCTTTCACCAGTCACATGAACCTATGTTATTCCTTTAATTTATATGGCGGATTGCTGGCTAGGAATTTTCATGGTTGACTATTGCAATCTGATAAAAAGCCCAGTATTAGTTAAAACTTTGTTCAACTTCGAAGCCCATTTCGTAGGCTTCACGGTTCTAATTTACTGCTTTCACCTCCAACGTTGTGAATAAATATGGTAATATGCAGAAAACAGACGAAGTTTTTGTGACAGGGACATTAGTGAGGTACACCTAATTATGAAGCATGCACTGATTTGGACCAAGGCAAGTGTCAGAAGTTTCGCATTACTGGAACAATACCTGGATGATGCTTTCTTTGTTCTAAATTATAAGACATTTTTTATTTTCAAGACACATTGCAAAATGTCTTAAATTTTTGAACAGAGGGAGTAGAAATGATGCTATGGCAAATGAAATGTGAAACTCAGAACGCGCTCAACTGGAACAAGAACAACCGACTATTCAAAGTATGAGTATAAATGTCCATGCAACACGAGTCACCACGGTGGCCCGGCATGAAGCCCGCATTTTTGGCCCAGCCCAAGCACGGCATGGCCCGATGGTCAGCGGGTCCAGGCCGGCCTGGCCCGGGGGAGCAGGCCGCGCCTGGGCCGCTACTCAAGCCCATGGGCTGGCACGGCCCGACCCGACCATCACAGGCAGGCATGGTGGCAGCCCGGTAAAAGCAGCGCTGCGCCCCCAATCCATAACCCTAACTTCAATCCCTCCCCACCCGCGCCGCACTCTCTCGCGCCCGGCTCCCCTCCCTCCCCGCGTCGTACTCACGAAGTCGCGAGTCGCGACCGTCACCCGCTCCCCACTCGCAGCCCCAACCGCTTCCCACTCTGAGCTTGGGCAAGCGCCGCACCACCTCCACCGGTTTCGACGCCGGTGGGTGCCGCGCCTCTGCCTCCACCAGACCCGACTACCACGAGGCCTGAGCTTTGGCGAGCGCATGGGAGCAGAGCGCGGTGGCGGCTCCCCTTCTGCCTCAGTGAGCGCGTGCAGGTCTCGCCTGTGTGCGGCCGTGCGGAGGCTCCGTCTCCGACTCCGTCACAGTGCTATGACCGCGGCAGTCGCCCCATCCTCGCTCCAGAATCTCCGTCTCAGCTCCTCCCTGCCCCATCTGGTGGCCACTTGCTCGGGCTGCCGGCTATCCCGGCCTGCTGGGATTGCCGTGCTCATCGGCCCGGCCTAGCCCAAAAATTGGCCCATAGGGCCGTGCCTGGGCCGATGACCAGGCACGAAGGCCTCTCTGGCACGGGCCCATGCTAGGCCGGGCCGGGCCGGCCCGATGGATATCTATAAGTATGAGGCTTCTAGCAAGCAGTAGCTTTGGACAAATAACAAATGCTCTGGCAAAGTTGTGTAGCATGCTCGTTCTAGAGTACAGTACTCCCTCCAATCCAAAATTATAAGTTATTTTAACTTTTTTGGAGAGTCGAAGTACCTCAAGTTTGACCAAAATTATATAGAGAAATACAAATATTTATGGCATCAAGTAGACATACTATGATAATATAATTGAAGAATCAAATGATACTTATTTGATATTATAAATACTATTATTCTTTTATATAAATTTGGTCAAACTTAAGATGCTTTTACTCTCAAAAAAATTAAAATGACTTAGAATTTGGGATGAATGGATTCCTTTTCCATGATTTGTTTTGTACATATTTGGTCAGTTTATATACAACATGCCAACATCAGCATCAGTATAATATATAATTTCTACGAGGCTGAACCGTCCTCTGAACACTCAATGCAAGTGCCACATGCGTGTGATCTCTCTGAACCACTCCTGAGTCCTTAGCTTCCTCTGATGTACGATGCTATGCTAGTTTGTGTTTCTTTGAGGAGCCTTGGCAACCCGGGCTGGGCCTCGAAACAGATGTCCCTCAGCCTCAACACCAGTATCGTCCACCTCCTCCTAATTGTCCTCCTGTGATGGGCTTTTCTTCAGTGACACGGCTGACACCAGTGATGGGCTAGATGCCAAGCTTCACCATGGCCTTTTGTGGCTCTTCTTCTCACTACTCCTGCTTTGCTTTGACTTTGCCACTCTGGCATCCCCTTCTTGTCCATCCACTTCATTCTTATCCTTGTCATCGTCGTCGCCTTCAAAATATGCTGGTAGCCAATCTGGACGGGAGGATACCATTGCCATGGCACCTGTCGATCACGGGTTCACGGTCGCTTAGCTTGTTGCACGCGCCAAGTTGGAGGTTCCGCGTGCGAGATGGATGCTAATTTGGAGGTCTCTCGCGCTAGTTTTCATGTGAATGGTGAATTTTGGTGCAACGGAAACGTTTTTAGGATTCTTTTTTATTCATTTTTGGGCATGGATGTTTAAGGTTTAATTGAAGTTTTACAATTCATTAGTAAGTCATTACAACTTTTCTGGAGAGTCAGAAAATTTCAAGTTTGTCAATGCACGGTTAGCGTGTCACGTCAGCCTACAGAGCGAGTTAGAACCCATTTGGATCTAGATGATACCTAAAACCAAGTTCATGGACTAAAAAATAGCATTTAAGAGTAGAGTGACCTAGGTGACACACCCCAGTAGAAGGATCGGCCTTACATGTGGGGGCCACATCAATGAACAGTCATCGTACCACGTCAGTTAATAGAGCGGGTTAGGACCTGGATGACACCCAAAGCCAAATTCATGGGCTCAGAAATAACATTTTAAGAGTAGAGGGACCTAGATGACACCTCTTGCCAAGTTGAAAGACCGGCCATGAATTTTTCTCTATGATTTGGCTTGCCGACCGTTGGAAAAATTTGATCTTTTATTAGTCACTCATATTTTCAGGTGCGGCGAAAAGTTAGGGATTACGATGATTATACTTGGCCATCGGGCCGGCCCGTCTCGGCACGGCCCGGAGGATGTCGGGCCGGCACGGCATGCCGTGCCTCCCGTGCCATGCCGCTGCAGCGGGCCTCATGCCTTGCCATCAGCCCAAGCACGGGCCTGTGGGCCTAAATCCGTGTCGTGGCGGCCTACTAGGCATGGCCAAATCACCATGCCATGCCAGTCCGAGGCCCGTAGGGTTCAAAACACATCAAAAAATTCATCTCAACAAGAAGTATTCAAATTTGAAGTATTTTTTTCATAGAAGAGCTTCAAACCAAAACCAAAACCATACGCACAGAGAACAAGAGGAAATTAAAAGGATAACTGAGCTGTGTGCAATGCTGCCTCATTAAAAACCTTTCTGGGTAAAACTCACCCTTGTGAGAAACCCCAGAAAGAGAAAAAGAGTGCAGCACAGCTCTAGTTATAAGTCTTAAACATGTTCAAAGGTTTACATGATACATTATAGATACAGATCATAATCAAGTCTCAGGCTCTTAGCTCACCTCTCAAGTCTCACACTTTCACTGTCTCTATCTCAACTCTCAACTCAAGAACCACCAGATGCAGAAGCCACAGATGCAGATGTGCTAGCAGAAGGAGCCCCAGAAGTAGATGCATCTTCATCAAGATAGAGATGCTCGAAGGAGTCTACCAGTTCTTGGTTGTCAACATCATGCTGCAGTCTTCTTTCACCAAGCTCCCAATCTTTTATGCAAGCAAGCATCTCCACATGTTCAGGCAATAGTCGACGGCGCCACTCCTCAAGTATTCTTCCTGTCAAGCTGAAACAAGATTCTGAAGACACTGTTGAAACATGAACTGACATAATATCTCTAGCTATGATAGAAAGCACTGGATATGTTAGCTTATGGTCACACCACTAGAGAAGTAGATCAAAGTCATCCTCATATGCAGTGACATTGTCACTGTCTAGATAAGCAGATAGCTCATAAGCAGCAGCAGTAGAAGTAGATAAAGAAGGACTGGGAGCAGAGGCAGGGGAAGGTTCAACAACACCAGATGCTCCAGGGCCTCCAAAAATTCTTCCCCATGCCTGCTTCCTCTTACCTGTGATGCTTACAGGATGTGCAGCCCTCCTTTGAGATCTAGCTGCACCAAACTTTTCTTCATACTTGTTAAACAACTTGAAAATTTCAGTTTTCA